CATGTGACAGACGTGAGTTGTTTCGTGTGACAGACGTGAGTTGTTTCGTGTGACAGACGGACGTGAGTTGTTTCGTGTGGCAGACAGACGTGAGTTGTTTCGTGTGACAGACAGACGTGAGTTGTTTCATGTGACAGACGTGAGTTGTTTCGTGTGACAGACAGACGTGAGTTGTTTCGTGTGACAGACGTGAGTTGTTTCGTGTGACAGACGTGAGTTGTTTCGTGTGACAGACAGACGTGAGTTGTTTCGTGTGACAGACGTGTGTTGTTTCGTGTGACAGACGTGAGTTGTTTCGTGTGACAGACGTGAGTTGTTTCGTGTGACAGACAGACGTGAGTTGTTTCATGTGACAGACAGACATGAGTTGTTTCGTGTGACAGACAGACGTGAGTTGTTTCATGTGACAGACGTGAGTTGTTTCGTGTGACAGACAGACGTGAGTTGTTTCGTGTGACAGACAGACGTGAGTTGTTTCGTGTGGCAGACGTGAGTTGTTTCGTGTGGCAGACAGACGTGAGTTGTTTCGTGTGACAGACAGACGTGAGTTGTTTCGTGTGACAGACAGACGTGAGTTGTTTCGTGTGGCAGACAGACGTGAGTTGTATCGTGTGACAGACAGACGTGAGTTGTTTCGTGTGACAGACGTGAGTTGTTTCGTGTGACAGACAGACGTGAGTTGTTTCGTGTGACAGACGTGAGTTGTTTCGTGTGACAGACGTGAGTTGTTTCGTGTGACAGACGTGAGTTGTTTCGTGTGACAGACGTGAGTTGTTTCGTGTGACAGACGTGAGTTGTTTCATGTGACAGACGTGAGTTGTTTCATGTGACAGACGTGAGTTGTATCGTGTGACAGACAGACGTGAGTTGTTTCATGTGACAGACGTGAGTTGTTTCGTGTGGCAGACGTGAGTTGTTTCGTGTGACAGACGTGAGTTGTTTCGTGTGACAGACGTGAGTTGTTTCGTGTGACAGACGTGAGTTGTTTCGTGTGACAGACAGACGTGAGTTGTTTCGTGTGACAGACGTGAGTTGTTTCGTGTGGCAGACGTGAGTTGTTTCGTGTGACAGACGTGAGTTGTTTCGTGTGGCAGACGTGAGTTGTTTCGTGTGACAGACGTGAGTTGTTTCGTGTGACAGACAGACGTGAGTTATTTCGTGTGACAGACAGACGTGAGTTGTTTCGTGTGACAGACAGACGTGAGTTGTTTCGTGTGACAGACAGACGTGAGTTGTTTCGTGTGACAGACAGACGTGAGTTGTTTCGTGTGACAGACAGACGTGAGTTGTTTCGTGTGACAGACAGACGTGAGTTGTTTCGTGTGGCAGACGTGAGTTGTTTCGTGTGACAGACAGACGTGAGTTGTTTCGTGTGACAGACAGACGTGAGTTGTTTCGTGTGACAGACAGACGTGAGTTGTTTCGTGTGACAGACGTGAGTTGTTTCGTGTGACAGACGTGAGTTGTTTCGTGTGACAGACAGACGTGAGTTGTTTCGTGTGACAGACAGACGTGAGTTGTTTCGTGTGACAGACAGACGTGAGTTGTTTCGTGTGACAGACAGACGTGAGTTGTTTCGTGTGACAGACAGACGTGAGTTGTTTCATGTGACAGACGTGAGTTGTTTCGTGTGACAGACAGACGTGAGTTGTTTCGTGTGACAGACAGACGTGAGTTGTTTCATGTGACAGACGTGAGTTGTTTCGTGTGACAGACGTGAGTTGTTTCGTGTGACAGACGGACGTGAGTTGTTTCGTGTGGCAGACAGACGTGAGTTGTTTCGTGTGACAGACAGACGTGAGTTGTTTCATGTGACAGACGTGAGTTGTTTCGTGTGACAGACAGACGTGAGTTGTTTCGTGTGACAGACGTGAGTTGTTTCGTGTGACAGACGTGAGTTGTTTCGTGTGACAGACAGACGTGAGTTGTTTCGTGTGACAGACGTGTGTTGTTTCGTGTGACAGACGTGAGTTGTTTCGTGTGACAGACGTGAGTTGTTTCGTGTGACAGACAGACGTGAGTTGTTTCATGTGACAGACAGACATGAGTTGTTTCGTGTGACAGACAGACGTGAGTTGTTTCATGTGACAGACGTGAGTTGTTTCGTGTGACAGACAGACGTGAGTTGTTTCGTGTGACAGACAGACGTGAGTTGTTTCGTGTGGCAGACGTGAGTTGTTTCGTGTGGCAGACAGACGTGAGTTGTTTCGTGTGACAGACAGACGTGAGTTGTTTCGTGTGACAGACAGACGTGAGTTGTTTCGTGTGGCAGACAGACGTGAGTTGTTTCGTGTGACAGACAGACGTGAGTTGTTTCGTGTGGCAGACGTGAGTTGTTTCGTGTGACAGACGTGAGTTGTTTCGTGTGACAGACAGACGTGAGTTGTTTCATGTGACAGACGTGAGTTGTTTCGTGTGACAGACAGACGTGAGTTGTTTCGTGTGACAGACGTGAGTTGTTTCGTGTGACAGACGTGAGTTGTTTCGTGTGACAGACGTGAGTTGTTTCGTGTGACAGACAGACATGAGTTGTTTCGTGTGACAGACGTGAGTTGTTTCGTGTGGCAGACGTGAGTTGTTTCGTGTGACAGACGTGAGTTGTTTCGTGTGACAGACAGACGTGAGTTGTTTCATGTGACAGACAGACGTGAGTTGTTTCGTGTGACAGACAGACGTGAGTTGTTTCGTGTGACAGACGTGGGTTGTTTCGTGTGACAGACGTGAGTTGTTTCGTGTGACAGACAGACGTGAGTTGTTTCTTGTGACAGACAGACGTGAGTTGTTTCGTGTGACAGACAGACGTGAGTTGTTTCGTGTGACAGACGTGAGTTGTTTCGTGTGACAGACTGACGTGAGTTGTTTCGTGTGACAGACGTGAGTTGTTTCGTGTGACAGACTGACGTGAGTTGTTTCGTGTGGCAGACAGACGTGAGTTGTTTCGTGTGACAGACAGACGTGAGTTGTTTCGTGTGACAGACGTGAGTTGTTTCGTATGACAGACAGACATGAGTTGTTTCGTGTGACAGACGTGAGTTGTTTCGTGTGACAGACGTGAGTTGTTTCGTGTGACAGACGTGAGTTGTTTCGTATGACAGACAGACATGAGTTGTTTCGTGTGACAGACGTGAGTTGTTTCGTGTGACAGACAGACGTGAGTTGTTTCGTGTGACAGACGTGAGTTGTTTCGTGTGACAGACAGACGTGAGTTGTTTCGTGTGACAGACGTGAGTTGTTTCGTGTGACAGACTGACGTGAGTTGTTTCGTGTGGCAGACAGACGTGAGTTGTTTCGTGTGACAGACGTGAGTTGTTTCGTGTGACAGACAGACGTGAGTTGTTTCATGTGACAGACAGACGTGAGTTGTTTCGTGTGACAGACAGACGTGAGTTGTTTCGTGTGACAGACGTGAGTTGTTTCGTGTGACAGACAGACGTGAGTTGTTTCATGTGACAGACGTGAGTTGTTTCGTGTGACAGACGTGAGTTGTTTCGTGTGACAGACGTGAGTTGTTTCGTGTGACAGACGTGAGTTGTTTCGTGTGACAGACGTGAGTTGTTTCGTGTGACAGACAGACGTGAGTTGTTTCTTGTGACAGACAGACGTGAGTTGTTTCGTGTGACAGACAGACGTGAGTTGTTTCGTGTGACAGACGTGAGTTGTTTCGTGTGACAGACTGACGTGAGTTGTTTTGTGTGACAGACGTGAGTTGTTTCGTGTGACAGACTGACGTGAGTTGTTTCGTGTGGCAGACAGACGTGAGTTGTTTCGTGTGACAGACAGACATGAGTTGTTTCGTGTGACAGACGTGAGTTGTTTCGTGTGACAGACAGACATGAGTTGTTTCGTGTGACAGACGTGAGTTGTTTCGTGTGACAGACAGACATGAGTTGTTTCGTGTGACAGACAGACGTGAGTTGTTTCGTGTGACAGACGTGAGTTGTTTCGTGTGGCAGACGTGAGTTGTTTCGTGTGACAGACAGACGTGAGTTGTTTCGTGTGACAGACGTGAGTTGTTTCGTGTGACAGACTGACGTGAGTTGTTTCGTGTGACAGACGTGAGTTGTTTCGTGTGACAGACAGACGTGAGTTGTTTCGTGTGACAGACAGACGTGAGTTGTTTCGTGTGACAGACGTGAGTTGTTTCGTGTGGCAGACGTGAGTTGTTTCGTGTGACAGACAGACGTGAGTTGTTTCGTGTGACAGACAGACGTGAGTTGTTTCGTGTGGCAGACGTGAGTTGTTTCGTGTGACAGACAGACGTGAGTTGTTTCGTGTGACAGACAGACGTGAGTTGTTTCGTGTGACAGACAGACGTTTACATAACTAATTAAATCCCTATTTTAGACACTTTAATAAATCCTTTATTTTATCACTATATTAATAAATTCTTACGTCAAAATTAAATCCCCAATCTACCCAACTCATTACATATGCTAGCTTAATTTCTTTTTTTTTTAGATTCTTAATTTAGCTACTTTAAATGAGCCACTACAAATATTTAGCCAGCATACATACATTCAGCGAGACTTCCGATGACCTCATTAGTTAATCGTATTGCTGTCGATCTAACTGACCTATCCTCTTACTGACCTATCCTCTTACTGACCTATTTTTTATCTTCAAGTTGAAAGACCTATCACCCTACTGACCAATCATCCTACTGACCTATCATACTACTGACCTATCATCCTACTAACCTATCATCCTACTGACCTATCACCCTACTGACCTATCTAACTCACCTATCATCCTACTGACCTATCATCCTACTGACCTATCATCCTACTGACCTATCATCCTACTGACCTATCATCCTACTGACCTATCTAACTGACCTATCATCCTACTGACCTATTACCCTACTGACCTATTACCCTACTGACCTATCATCCTACTGACCTATCACCCTAATGACCTATCACCCTAATGACCTATCACCCTAATGACCTATCATCCTAATGACCTATCATCCTACTGACCTTTTGAACGTGTTTACAAACCTGAGTGCATATGTACCGAGCAAAGGCGCATGGAAGAATCTGCTTTGATGATCACGTGATCTGCGTAATGGGGGCCGCCATGACAGTAGACGTCATAGCTCGTGCCCTCGACGTGGAGTACACGTGTCTTGTCACACACTGTGCGCTGCGTGCTGAGACCGAACGTGATGGTCAGCTTGTCTAGGCTGGTCACTGGGGAAAGGGGGGAGATCATGTCTGACGTCACCACTCGTGACATTGTGTTGTTTTGGTTTCTAGTTGGAGGTTATCGTGAGGGTGTTCGATATGGTTTTGTTGAGAGCTAGGGTTTGAGACCAAAATCTGAAGAGTCTTACTTGCCTCTCCCCTCCCCAAATACCTATTGGTGCAACAGCACAATTGTACCCCGTCTTACTTGCCTCTCCCCTCCCCAAATACCTATTGGTGCAACAGCACAATTGTACCCCGTCTTACTTGCCTCTCCCCTCCCCAAATACCTATTGGTGCAACAGCACAATTGTACCCCGTGCAGTAATAGAGAAGTTTTGCATAGTTTTTAAAAACATATACATACATACATTCTTACATATAATTATAATTAAAAAAATATATATGTATATTATATTTCTAAAACTGTAATTTAAATGTAAACAAAGTAGGCGCAGTATTTTTTTTATAGACAAAGGGAAAAAACCACGTTAATATTTTGTGCAAAATAATCTAAACATGGTTAACTCCTCTGATCAGTCAAAATTAAATATTATAGTATCTATTATCTATATATATAATTCTCCTCTGGGAGACGCTAGAAAACAAGCTGTAAACGCGCTCCCTACCACCCCCCACCCCTACATGGTCTGGTGAGCTGTGGTTCACTTTAAATGTTTACAAACAGAGCCGGGTTTAGTGACGACTATTAGGGGCAGATAATTTAGTTTGAAACGATTATAAACGTAGGGGGGGGGGGGGGTAACTAAGTAGAGTTTACTTTAATGGGGGGGGGGGGGGGTGAGGTTATCGTCCTTAACGAGCTACTTATAGTGTTTTAAAGAAATATTTTCACTGGCAGCGTTGGTAGTGTCGAATTCACAAATTATGAATAACTGAAAAGTAGAAAAAAACAACAACTAAATAGCGGCGTATAATATGCCGCGGGTCGGCTCGTTAGTATTATTAACATTTCGACATTAGGGTCCCTTTTAGCCCTTGGAGACATAAATAATCCCCCCCCCCCCCTCACAGGAATCGCTGCGACCCCCCCCCCCCCTCCCTTCCCCACACTTGTAAAGCCGGACCTGTATTTTAGATTGTAGGAAAAAAGTCACAGGAAAAAAACAAACACAGGAAAAAAACAAACACAGGAAAAAAAAAACAGAAAAAAAGTCACAGGAAAAAAAGTCACAGGAAAAAAAGTCACAAATATATATTTGCATGAAGTTTGTTAATACTTTTATGTATTAAATATTTAGAGAGTGCAAATTAACTTAGGAATAATTAAATGTAATGTAATGTGTGTTGGTTGTATACGCATAGTAAAAAATATTTAGTATGAATTATGAAGATAGTAATTATGGTAAACATAAGATTAATAGCATTTAATAGACTAGCAAAAACTGTGACTTTTTTCTGTTATTTTTTCTGTGACTTTTTTTCCGTTCAACGTATTTTATGCCTGACCTTTCCTTAGCAGGACGACCCTGAGCCAGACGATGACCGTCTGGTTGAAGAAGGTCATCTTGAGAGGCTGGCTGGAACCGCTGAGGCAGGTGGCGTCATCACCGTCAGTCAGCGTCAGGTGGTCAGGTGAGCTGCAGGCTGCGTCACCTGTAAGGTGAGCACATGTCATTTAGCAACTTACGACACAAATGTCAACATGTCATTCATCAAGTGATGTCAGACAGATGTCAACATGTCATTCATCAAGTGATGTCAGACAGATGTCAACATGTCATTCATCAAGTGATGTCAGACAGATGTCAACATGTCATTCATCAAGTGATGTCAGACAGATGTCAACATGCCATTCATCAAGTGATGTCAGACAGATGTCAACATGCCATTCATCAAGTGATGTCAGACAGATGTCAACATGCCATTCATCAAGTGATGTCAGACAGATGTCAACATGCCATTCATCAAGTGATGTCAGACAGATGTAAAAAAACAACTTACGAAATTGGCATTTGTTCCCAAACCATCCCCTCTGACATCTGTTGTATGGACACTGTCCATCGTCCGGACACAATCCAGTCGCACAGTGGCACTGTGACACTGGCTCCGTCCTGGACCATTGCGGATCTTTCGTGAGGGGAGATAAAAATGTTGAATCAAATCTTTAGTCAGGGGAGATAAAAAGGTTAAATCAAATCTTTCGTGAGGGGAGATAAATTTGTTGAATCAATTCTTTCGTGAGGGGAGATAAAAAGGTTAAATCAAATCTTTCATGAGGGGAGATAAAAATGTTGAATCAAATCTTTCATGAGGGGAGATAAAAATGTTTTTTAAAATCTTTCGTCAGGGGAGATAAAAATGTTGAAATAAATCTTTCGTGAGGGGAGATAAAAAGGTAAAATCAAATATTTCGTCAGGGGAGATAAATTTGTTGAATCAATTCTTTCGTGAGGGGAGATAAAAAGGTTAAATCAAATCTTTCGTGAGGGGAGATAAAATTGTTGAATCAATTCTTTCGTGAGGGGAGATAAAAAGGTAAAATCAAATATTTCGTCAGGGGAGATAAATTTGTTGAATCAATTCTTTCGTGAGGGGAGATAAAAAGGTTAAATCAAATCTTTCGTGAAGGGAGATAAAATTGTTGAATCAAATCTTTCGTGAGGGGAGATAAAAAGGTTAAATCAAATCTTTCGTGAGAGGAGATAAAATTGTTGAATCAAATCTTTCGTGAGGGGAGATAAAAATTGTTGAATCAAATCTTTCTTGAGTTGAGATAAAAATTGTTGAATCAAATCTTTCGTGAGGGGAGATAAAAATTGTTGAATCAAATCTTTCGTGAGGGGAGATAAAAAATGCTTACAAGTTTCATAGAAATTTGTTTCCAGCATTTCATGTCTTCTCAACTAATGAAATGTAACGTTGACCCCAATGTCCACTTGCAAACTGCCGCAACAGACCGCCTCTTAATTCCAGCCAGAAAATGACACCACTCACCAATGTGACACCACTCACCAAAGTGACACCACTCATCAATGTGACACCACTCACCAATGTGACACAACTCACCAATGTGACACCACTCACCAATGTGAAACCACTCACCAATGAGACACCCCTCACCAATGTGACACCCCTCACCAATGTGACACCACTCACCAATGTGACACCCCTTACCAATGTGACACCCCTCACCAATGTGACACCACTCATCAATGTGACACCCCTCACCAATGTGACACCACTCACCAATGTGACACCCCTCACCAATGTGACACCACTCACCAATGTGACACCCATCGCCAATGTGACACCACTCACCAATGTGACACCCCTCACCAATGTGACACCCCTCACCAATGTGACACCACTCACCAAAGTGACACCACTCATCAATGTGACACCACTCACCAATGTGACACCACTCACCAATGTGACACCACTCACCAATGTGACACCCCTCACCAATGTGACACCACTCACCAATGTGACACCACTCACCAATGTGACACCCCTCGCCAATGTGACACCACTCACCAATGTGACACCATTCACCAATGTGACACTCCTCACCAATGTGACACCCCTCACCAATGTGACACCCCTCACCAATGTGACACCACTCATCAATGTGACACCACTCACCAATGTGACACCACTCACCAATGTGACACCACTCACCAATGTGACACCCCTCACCAATGTGACACCACTCACCAATGTGACACCACTCACCAATGTGACACCCATCGCCAATGTGACACCACTCACCAATGTGACACCACTCACCAATGTGACACCCCTCACTAATGTGACACCACTCACCAAATTCTGACACCACTCACCAATGTGACACCTCTCACCAATGTGACACCACTCACCAATGTGACACTACTCACCAACGTGACACTACTCACCAAATTCTGACACCCCTCACCAATGTGACACCACTCACCAATCATCATGCAGATAAAGTGCTGCTCTTCGCTGCACGTTTCGTCGTATGCCTGTGACGTCACGTCCACACAGACACAGTTCTCGCCCCTGAGATGGTCGGGCTCGTTGTCCCGCCACACGACGCCCGTCATCGTCTGTCTGCTGTCTAGCCACGTGAACTTGCCCTCGGTTGCCAGGTCACTTGCGCCGATCCACGCAATGTAGTCGCCTGCAACATTTGAATGAACAGAGCAATTAGTGCGCATGTCAAGACAATCAGTGCGCATGTCAAGACAGTCAGTGCGCATGTCAAGACAATCAGTGCGCATGTCAAGACAGTCAGTGCGCATGTCAAGACAGTCAATGCGCATGTCAAGACAATCGGTGCGCATGTCAAGACAATCAGTGCGCATGTCAAGACAATGAGTCATGGTCTTGAAACATGTGACGTAAACTTTTGACGTCCACGGCCAGTACTCACCTGTATGACGTCCACGGCCAGTACTCACCTGTAAGACGTCCACGGCCAGTACTCACCTGTATGACGTCCACGGCCAGTACTCACCTGTATGACGTCCACGGCCAGTACTCACCTGTATGACGTCCACGGCCAGTACTCACCTGTGTGACGTCCAGCTTTCACCTGAGTGACGTCCACGGCCAGTACTCACCTATGTGACGTCCACGGCCAGTACTCACCTGTATGACGTCCACGGCCAGTACTCACCTGTATGACGTCAAGCTTTCACCTGTATGACGTCCACGGCCAGTACTCACCTATGTGACGTTCACGGCCAGTACTCACCTATGTGACGTCCACGGCCAGTACTCACCCTCTTCCTGTATGGCCATCGCCATAATGCTGCGGATCTGTTCCACATCATTGAACCGGGCCAGCAACATGCCGTCTCTGATACAAATCTTCTGTGGGGGGGGGTGAGACACATGAGACATGAGGATGATAACAGAGGGAAAACATAAACACACAACTTCTGTAGAATGGAGCAGTGTTTCTTTCAGACACTTTTCTCCATGTTTCTTGGTGTGTGGGTGTGTGTGATGTTAAGTGTGTGTGTTGGTGTGTGATGCTGGTTGTAGTATATATTTTCTATTTATAACTTCTGTTTGTTTCAATGGAGGGGGGTGGTAGAGGAGATGAGGGGGGGGGGGGGGGGGGGGGGTGGTAGAGGAGATGGCTGAATGAAACTCTGAGTCGAGCGGTTGTTGGTGTGTGTTGATGAGGGGGAGGGGGTGGTAGAGGAGATGGCTGAATGAAACTCTGAGTCGAGCGGTTGTTGGTGTGTGTTGATGAGGGGGAGGGGGTGGTAGAGTAGATGGCTGAATGAAACTCTGAGTCGAGCGGTTGTTGGTGTGTGTTGATGAGGGGGGGGGGGGGTGGTAGAGGAGAGAGTCGAGCGGTTGTTGGGGTGTGTTGATGAGGGGGGGGGGGTGGTAGAGGAGAGAGTCGAGCGGTTGTTGGGGTGTGTTGATGAGGGGGAGGGGGTGGTAGATGGCTGAATGAAACTCTGAGTCGAGCGGTTGTTGGTGTGTGTTGATGAGGGGGGGGGGGGGGGGGGTGACACGTGACCTGACCAACACATGTCAAACATACCAGACACTTCACACGGCACAATCCAACGTCGCACTGTCTACGTCACCACGTGACTAACCTGTGACCACGTGACTAACCTGTGACCACGTGACTAACCTGTGACCACGTGACTAACCTGTGACCACGTGACTAACCTGTGACTCCTGCCAGCTGACTGGGTACAGGTAGAAGACGTAACAGACGTCCAGGCTACGAAACGCTCCTTCAAAGCTGCAGTTTCTGAGGGCGTCTTCAAGTCAATAGGTGTTAAAAGATGTGTGTCATGTATGTGTTTGTTGGTGTGTGTGTTTGTTTGTTGGTGTCTTCAAGTCAATAGGTGTTAAAAGATGTGTGTCATGTATGTGTTTATTGTTGTGTGTTTTTGTTTGTTGGTGTGTGATGTTAAGTGTGTGTATTAGTAACTGATGTTAAGTGTGTTTGTTGGTGTGTGTGATGTGTGTATGTTGGTGTGATGCTGTGTGTGTGTGTTGGTGTGATGCTTGTGGGTGCTTGTGTCTGTTCGTGCATTTTAGAAAAGGTGTTTATGTTGATATGTGTGTTTTTCTGTTTGTTTATCTGTGTGTTTTGTTTTGTAATGCGTACAGAAATGTGTAAGCTATCTATTTTTTTGAGTGTTAAATTGTGTTTATTTACTTGAGTGTTTGTGTTAAATCGTGTTTGACTGCTAACAAGTTTAAAACCATGACGTCACAACAGTCAAACGTTAAAAAAACTTTTGACAATGTCCGAATCAACGGGGCCCCTTACCGCTGGTTGCCATGACGACTAGAGCACCAATCACAGCACGAAGAAAAGCGTCACGTGATTGTAAACTTAACATAGCTGACTCCAACAGGATGACTGGAGTCATGAAGCTCTGAGTTTAAACATGAAGCTCCGTGTGTTTGTTTACAGCTGGTTCAAATTGTATAAAGTCAAGTGACTTCGTCAGGTCAAGTTGTAATTCAGTACGTCAGGAAAGTTGACTTCTGATCAGTACTTCAGGAAAGTTGACTTCTGACTTACGATCGTCGACCGTCTCATTGACTTAAAAAAACGTCGCTTGAAATTGTGTCATATCAAACTTTAAAATCTATCACCCATTCTATACTAGATTAAGATCTAGATCGAATAAATAATGTAGATCTAGTATTCGATCTAATAAATCTAGATCTAGATCTGTAATGTTTTTATTAAAAATAATAAAAATTTAAAAAAAAAATACTTTTTTGTCAAACCATTAACGGTACACTTTCTCAGATGTTTTCAGTAGCATAGTTAACATTTAACTTACTCCACCCAACTAGCCTTGAACTCACGTAATTACCTGACAAACAACTAGACACAGTGAAACAAAGACAACACCAGGAACTAATACAGTGTGCTCAGTGGTGGTGCTAACATGTGCTAGCGGTGCGGCTGTCGGGAAAACCCGATCCCATAGGTAACAATTTTGTGTGTCTTAGGGTTGATGGGGGGGGGGGGGGGGGGAGATTTAAAGAAAAGCTTTTTTTACTATCTCGTATATACGAAGTATAGAGAAAGTCTTGTAATCGTTTTACACTTCACTGATACGGAAAAACATAATTTTGCAATCTTGTCCGTATGTCTGTGTGTATGTGTCTGTGTGTCTGTAAACACGATAACTTGAGTACCGTTAGAGCTAGGTTGATGAAATTTCATATATAAGTATTTCATCAAAATCGTAGTTCCTTTTTAACTTTTGAGCGATTTCCGATAACCGGAAGTGGTATTTTTTTTACTTTGAATTTTTCAAAAGCCTATAAATTGAGTACTGTTTCAGATAGATAAATGGAATTTCACATGTAAGTAAAAGATCTAATTCTCTTTGTTCTGTTAAATTTTGAGTAATTTCCGTTGACCGGAAGTACTCATTTACGCTTTTTCCTATTTCTTAAAAAAACCAATGTAAATTTATAAAGTACTAATAATATTCTGCACTATTATGCACATTTTATTTGGCGTTCACTGGTGTGCACTTATTTTTTCTACGAGATTTTATTCTATTTTAAAAAGTTTTAGTATTTAAAATGGATTAAAATTCATGTCTATATTCCGAGTTCCCATCCCCTGTTTTTTTTATATATAAGAATATTCGAGAAAGTTTAGGGTTTATTACTTTCTCGTATACAGAGTATAGATGAAGTATTGTAATCGTGCACATAATTTACATGCAATTTTAACAATTTTCATCGTTTTACACCTCAGTACATCATCATATACGGAGTATAGGGGCTTATTTTAATCGGGCAAAAATAATAAATCCAGATTTATCAAAATTTTGGTGTTCTATGCATAACTGAGTCTGAAAAAACTGGGCTTTGCATATCTGTCCGTATGTCTGTGTGTGTGTGTAAACACAATAAGTTGAGTACCGTTACAGCTAGGCTTATGACATTTCATATACAAGTATTATATCAAATTTGTAGTTCTGTATCAACTTTTCAGCGACTTTTGGTAACCGGAAGTGGAACTTGTTCTACTTTTGGTTTTTCAAAAGCCTATAACGTGACTACTATTTCAGATAGATAAACGAAATTTCACAAATAAGTAAACGATATAATTTCCTGCCTTCAGTCAAATTTTGAGTAATTTCCGTTGACCGGAAGTAGTAATTTACTCTATTTCCGATTTCTAAAAAAAAAAACGTATATGAATTTATAAAGTACAAATAATATTCCGCACTATTAACACAGATTGTTAGGCGTTCACTTGGTGCGCTATTCTGTGCTTCAACGAGATCCTATTCTATTTTTAAAAGTTTAAGTTAAGGGGCTATCACTCCCGGTTTATTTTTAATGTACCGACATAGGATCTGGAGCAACGCGCTAGGTTTGAAAGAAATAGGTCCGTTAAGAGTGGACGAAATTTTGCTCGCAAGTTCAATCTGGGACGACAAATGCTCGTAAAACGGTTGACTTATTATCAGTTTATAAATAGAAGTTCTTGACCTATTTTGTTTTTGGGTCACAAAATGTCCTCCAAATTCATGAGTTTTGTCCTGAAATGTGGTAAAGCTGTAGGACAACATCCACTAACGTCCTTACACAATCTCTTCCATGCCTTACGCCACTCCAACATCAATCTCTTCCATATCCACAGGCTGTACACGTCATCCATATCTCCAGGCTGTACACGTCATCCATATCTCCAGGCTGTACACGTCATCCATATCTCCAGGCTGTACACGTCATCCATATCTCCAGGCTGTACACGTCATCCATATCTCCAGGCTGTACACGTCATCCATATCTCCAGGCTGTACACGTCATCCATATCTCCAGGCTGTACACGTCATCCATATCTCCAGGCTGTACACGTCATCCATATCTCCAGGCTGTACACGTCATCCATATCTCCAGGCTGTACACGTCATCCATATCTCAGCTTAGTCACGTGATCGATGTTCCTGAGCTACACACTCACGCAGACATTTGTGCTAAATGACATAATTCAAAAGTCATGTGAATGACATTTGGTTACAGCACACATCGATACATTGTATGGAGACAACCAAAAGACAATCTGTGATTTAATTGGCTTTATTCGGACAGGGGTCACATCAAGCTCAACAGGGGTCACATCGAGGTCAACAGGGGTTACATCAAGGTCAACATGGGTCACATCAACCTCAACAGGGGTTACAGAAACTTAACAGGGTTCACAACAAAGGAACTAGGGTCACATAAAGATCATCATGCATAGCTTACAGGTAAGATGTATAACAGTGTGACGTCATATTGCCGCAGGTGTTCGAAGCAGCACAGGTAAAGTTATTGCATATTCACACTTCCGGCAGCATGTCACAAGCCAATGTGTCATCTGTCATGTCATACGTCAATTTGTCATGTCATACGTCAATTTGTCATGACATACGTCAAGGTGTCATTTGTAATGTCATGTTATTTGTCATGTCATTGTGTCATTTGTCGTGTCAATGTGTCATTTGTCATGTCATACGTCAATGTGTCATTTGTTATGTCATGCGTCAATGTGTCATTTGTTATGTCATATGTCATGAGCTCGCTGCTTGCAGTAAACATCAGACAAAAAAGATTTACTCCATCTTGTCACTCTACTAGTGACGTTCTTCACAGCGCCCTGCGTGATCCAGCTGGTCACGTGTCACGCTGGTCACGTGTCACGCTGGTCACGTGTCAACCTGATGTCGATCCTGAAGGAAAGTTAGCGACGACTGTCATGTTGTTCGGGCCGCGTACGACGGCGTCAAAAGTATCGTCTTTGTACTGGACAATTGTGTCTCGGTCAACCATAGCAGCTGTGGAGGTCAAAGTTCAATTAGCATACACGGTACCCACACAGTTCTTACACACAGAACCCACACACAGAACCCGCACATAGTACCCACACACAGTGCCCACACACAGTACCCACACATAGTACTCACACAGAGAACCCGCACATAGTACCCACACATGGAACCCGCACATAGTACCCACACGCAAAACCCACACACAATACCCACACACAGTACCCACACACAGTATCCACACACAGTGCCCACACACAGTACCCACACACAGTACCCACACACAGTACCCACACACAATATCCACACACAGTGCATACACACAGTACCCACACACAGTACCCACACACAGTACCCACACACAGTACCCACACACAGTACCCACACACAGTACCCACACACAGTACCCACACACAGTACCCACACACAGTACCCACACACATTACCCACACACAGTACCCACACGCAAAACCCACACACAATACCCACACACAGTACCCACACACAGTATCCACACACAGTGCCCACACACAGTACCCACACACAGTACCCACACACAGTACCCACACACAATATCCACACACAGTGCATACACACAGTACCCACACACAGTACCCACACACAGTACCCACACACAGTACCCACACACAGTACCCACACACAGTACCCACACACAGTACCCACACACAGTACCCACACACAGTACCCACACACATTACCCACACACAGTACCCACACACAATACCCACACACAGTACCCACACACAGTACCCACACACAGTACCCACACACATTACCCACACACAGTGCCCACACACAGTACCCACACACAGTACCCACACACAGTACCCACACACAGTACCCACACACAGTACCCACACACAGTACCCACACACATTGCCCACACACAGTACCCACACACAGTACCCACACACAGTACCCACACACAGTACCCACACACAGTACCCACACACAGTACCCACACACATTACCCACACATACTACCCACACACAGTGCCCACACACAGTACCCACACACAGTACCCACACACATTGTCCACACACAGTACCCACACAGTACCCACACACAGTACCCACACACATTGCCCACACACAGTACCCACACAGTACCCACACACAGTACCCACACAGTACCCACACACAGTACCCACACACAGTACCCACACAGCACCCACACACAGTACCCACACAGTATCCACACAAGTACCCACACACAGTACCCACACAGTACCCACACACAGTACCCACACACAGTACCCACACAGTACCCACACAGCACCCACACACAGTACCCACACAGTACCCACACACAGTACCCACACACAGTACCCACACACAGTACCCACACACAGTACCCACACACATTGCCCACACACAGTACCCACACAGCACCCACACACAGTACCCACACAGTACCCACACACAGTACCCACACACAGTACCCACACACAGTACCCACACACAGTACCCACACACAATACCCACACAGCACCCACACACAGTACCCACACACAGTACCCACACAGTACCCACACACAGTACCCACACAGCACCCACACACAGTACCCACACACAGTACCCACACAGTACCCACACACAGTACCCACACACAGTACCCACACACAGTACCCACACACAATACCCACACACAGTACCCACACAGCACCCACACACAGTACCCACACACAGTACCCACACACAGTACCCACATAGCACCCACACACAGTACCCACACACAATACCCACACACAGTACCCACACAGCACCCACACACAGTACCCACACACAGTACCCACACAGTACCCACACACAGTACCCACACAGTACCCACACACAGTACCCACACAGCACCCACACACAGTACCCACACACAGTGCCCACACACAGTACCCACACAGCACTACATGAAACAACTTACCCATCGATCTGCCGACACTGGCTGCCATAAACAAGAAGCAAACAACCAATTTCATCAAGTAGTTCATCTGTGGGGGGAGAGGGGTGGTGGTCATTGTGGGGGGAGGTGGTCATTGTGGGAGGAGGTGGTCATTGTGGGGGGAGAGGGTGGTGGTCATTGTGGGGGAAAGAGGGTTGGTGGTCATTGTGGGGGGGAGGTGGTCATTGTGGGGGGAGGTGGTCATTGTGGGAGGAGGTGGTCATTGTGGGGGGAGAGGGTGGTGGTCATTGTGGGGGGGGGGTCATTGTGGGGGGGGGGGAGGTGGTCATTGTGGGGGGAGGGGTGGTGGTCATTGTGGGGGAGAGGGGTAGCGGTCATTGTGGGGGGGGTCATTGTGGGGGGAGGTGGTCATTGTGGGGGGGGGGAGGGGTGGTGGTCATTGTGGGGGGAGGTGGTCATTGTGGGGGGAGGTGGTCATTGTGGGGGGGAGGGGTGGTGGTCATTGTGGGGGGAGGTGGTCATTGTGGGGGAAAGAGGGTTGGTGGTCATTGTGGGGGGAGGTGGTCATTGTGGGGGGAGGTGGTCATTGTGGGGGGGAGGGGTGGTGGTCATTGTGGGGGGAGGTGGTCATTGTGGGGGGGAGGGGTGGTGGTCATTGTGGGGGGGGAGGGGTGGTGGTCATTGTGGGGGAGAGGGGTAGCGGTCATTGTGGGGGGGGTCATTGTGGGGGGGGGGGAGGTGGTCATTGTGGGGGGAGGGGTGGTGGTCATTGTGGGGGAGAGGGGTAGCGGTCATTGTGGGGGGGGGGGTCATTGTGGGGGGAGGTGGTCATTGTGGGGGGGGAGGGGTGGTGGTCATTGTGGGGGGGAGGTGGTCATTGTGGGGGGGGAGGGGTGGTGGTCATTGTGGGGGAGAGGGGGAGCGGTCATTGTGGGGGGGGGGGGTCATTGTGGGGGGGAGGTGGTCATTGTGGGGGGGAGGGGTGGTGGTCATTGTGGGGGAGAGGGGTAGCGGTCATTGTGGGGGGGGGGGTCATTGTGGGGGGGAGGTGGTCATTGTGGGAGGGAGGGGTGGTGGTCATTGTGGGGAGAGGGGTAGCGGTCATTGTGGGGGGGGGGGGTCATTGTGGGGGGGGGAAGAGGGGTGGTGGTCAGTGTGGGGGAGGGGGGAGGTGGTTAAGTTACATGACGTGTCTCGTCCACGTCATTCGTATGTGACGTCATGTTCAAGTCAAATGAGACAAGTCAGATCTGAGACACTCAATGATTTACACGTCTAAATAAGTCATACTAGACCTGATGTCAAGAAAATAAATCATACTAGACCTGATGTCAAGAAAATAAGTCATACTAGACCAGATGTCAAGAAAATAAGTCATACTAGACCAGATGTCAAGAAAATAAGTCATACTAGACCAGATGTCAAGAAAATAAGTCATACTAGACCAGATGTCAAGAAAATAAGTCATATTAGACCAGATGTCAAGAAATAAGTCATATTAGACCAGATGTCAAGAAAATAAGTCATATTAGACCAGATGTCAAGAAAATAAGTCATATTAGACCAGATGTCAAGAAAATAAGTCATATTAGACCAGATGTCAAGAAAATAAGTCATATTAGACCCGATGTCAAGAAAATAAGTCATATTAGACCAGTTGTCAAGAAAATAAGTCATATTAGACCAGATGTCAAGAAAATAAGTCATATTAGACCAGATGTCAAGAAAATAAGTCATACTAGACCAGATGTCAAGAAAATAAGTCATACTAGACCAGATGTCAAGAAAATAAGTCATACTAGACCAGATGTCAAGAAAATTAGTCATATTAGACCAGATGTCAAGAAAATAAGTCATATTAGACCAGATGTCAAGAAAATAAGTCATACTAGACCAGATGTCAAGAAAATAAGTCATATTAGACCAGATGTCAAGAAAATAAGTCATACTAGACCAGATGTCAAGAAAATAAGTCATATTAGACCAGATGTTAAGAAAATAAGTCATATTAGACCAGATGTCAAGAAAATAAGTCATATTAGACCAGATGTCAAGAAAATAAGTCCTACTAGACCAGTTGTCAAGAAAATGAGTCCTACTAGACCAGTTGTCAAGAAAATAAGTCATACTATATCGTCAAAAAAATAAGTCATTCTAGACCAGATGTCAAGAAAATTAGTCAATATTATACCGTCAAGAAAATAAGTCATACTAGACCAGTTGTCAAGAAAATAAGTCATACTATACCGTCAAGAAACTAAGTCATACTACACCAGCTGTCTAGAAAATAAGTCATACTAGACCAGATGTCAAGAAGCTAAGTCATACTACACCAGCTGTCTAGAAAATAAGTCATACTAGACCAGATGTCAAGAAGCTAAGTCATACTACACCAGCTGTCTAGAAAATAAGTCATACTACACCAGCTGTCTAGAAAATAAGTCATATTAGACCTGATGTCAAGAAAATAAGTCATATTAGACCAGATGTTAAGAAAATAAGTCATATTAGACGAGATGTCAAGAAAATAAGTCATATTAGACCAGATGTCAAGAAAATAAGTCCTACTAGACCAGTGGTCAAGAAAATGAGTCCTACTAGACCAGTTGTCAAGAAAATTAGTCCTACTAGACCAGTTGTCAAGAAAATAAGTCATACTATATCGTCAAAAAAATAAGTCATTCTAGACCAGATGTCAAGAAAATTAGTCAATATTATACCGTCAAGAAAATAAGTCATACTAGACCAGTTGTCAAGAAAATAAGTCATACTATACCGTCAAGAAACTAAGTCATACTACACCAGCTGTCTAGAAAATAAGTCATACTAGACCAGTTGTCAAGAAAATAAGTCATACTATACCGTCAAGAAACTAAGTCATACTACACCAGCTGTCTAGAAAATAAGTCATACTAGACCAGATGTCAAGAAGCTAAGTCATACTACACCAGCTGTCTAGAAAATAAGTCATACTAGACCAGATGTCAAGAAGCTAAGTCATACTACACCAGCTGTCTAGAAAATAAGTCATACTACACCAGCTGTCTAGAAAATAAGTCATATTAGACCTGATGTCAAGAAGCTAAGTCATACTACACCAGCTGTCTAGAAAATAAGTCATACTAGACCAGATGTCAAGAAGCAAAGTCATACTACACCAGCTGTCTAGAAAATAAGTCATACTAGACCAGATGTCAAGAAGCTAAGTCATACTACACCAGCTGTCTAGATAATAAGTCATACTACACCAGCTGTCTAGAAAATAAGTCATACAATTACAAGACAAGCCTGAGTTTAAAAAAAAATCAAGCCCCAAATTTTTTTCACCGACCACAAAAATCTTAGTAATGTACGATTATTAACAGGCTTGATTCAGTGAAAAGAATGTATTTTCCTACAAACGTCGAGGAACTAAAACCAAATGTAACATACCCCCTGGTCAACACGACTGCCGGCCTTACCTTCAGACTCACGCTGTAGACAGTGGATCGAAACCCACTGAGAGCAACTTTTATACACCCTTATGGTACAGCTGTTGATCTGATCTAATCAAATTTTCATCAAATTTGATTTTTGAATAGGCTGTAGGTGCTAAAGACGTCAATGGTGTGATTGTGTTGAGAGGTCCATCTGTCTACAAGCGCGCTATCGCCTCCTTTCGTCAGCCGTACCTTGATCTAATCGATATTTGACGGGGGCCTCAGGAAAAAGGTCCAAATGGGATTTTTTTTTAACTTTGACATTTTTCGCCTACATGACTAGATTACAATATTTAATGACTACATTACTATATATAATGACTGCATTACAATATTTAATGACTACATTACTATATTTAATGCCTACATACAGTACAATATTTAATGACTACATTACTATATATAATGACTGCATTACAATATTTAATGACTACATTACAATATTTAATGCCTACATACAGTACAATATTTAATGACTACATTACTATATCTAATGGCTGAATTAAAATATTTAATGACTACGTTACAATATATAATGACTACGTTACATTTGATGACTATATTCATAGATGATGCAGTTTGCCAATTAAATTACTCAAAAATTGCATTTTTTTCTGAAATCCGTGATTAATTTCTGAAATAAAATTAAAATACGGTGTACGGACGAATAGACCCTTTTCATAAGGCTTTCATTACAGCAAATCTTTTAACTTTTCATCTGATGAATGGGCCGCCCATAAGGGAAGTGAAACATTGGAGTTGTCTGTTCTTGGTGGGAGCTTTTAGATAAATCCCCCCCCCCCCCCACTGTGGGCAGATCAATGTGTTTATGGAGATATCCAAAGCCCCCCCCCCCACCCTGGGCAGATCAAGGTGTGTTGACGGAGATATCCAAACACATAATGGAACACGTGAACAATGTGTGTCTACTTTTTTATTCTAGAAAATTCGTTACAAAAATTAGCGAAACTCTCACCACAGAAACTTACAGCAAAACTATTCAACGTTTTTTTTTGTCTAACATGTCTGTGTAACGTGTCTGTCTAACGTATCTGTCGAACATTTCTGTCGATCATGTCTGTCTGTCCAAAAATGTATGACGTCACTGCTCTTTTCCGTTGTATGACGTCACCAGACTCCATCTCTCCTGGCAAATGACGTCACTAATTCCCTGGACTTGCATTCGAGCCCGACCCCCCCGAGGAGACCCCCGACAGGGCGTCCGACTCTGTGACCCCAGTGACCTCTGTGACCTCTGACAACTCGCCGAAACTTTTCTCACGCACCACACGCAACTCATGGATGGCCTTGAACGTGTCCCCGTCCACTGAGGGTGAGAGAACAGAGGGGGGGGGGCAGTTTTAGATTGAGAGAGAGACTGAAATTTGACACATCTAGAGCAGGGGTCTCCAAACTTTTCAGCCCGAGGGCCGCATTAACTATCAAATATCAGTTCGGGGCCAGTTTCTTCATTTTTTTCCGTGGACAAAAAGATTTTCGCGGGCCGGATGAGAGGACCTTGCGGGCCGTAGTTTGGAGACTCCGGATCTAGAGCAACACATCACAACACAGAACTTATGTTGTGACAGTACTGCATACCCATTGTGCTATACTGCTACTTATGCTGTAGTGCTACCTATGCTGTAGTGCTACCTATGCTGTAGTGCTACCTATGCTGTAAAGCTACCTTTGTTCTAGTGCTACCTATACTGTAAAGCTACATATGCTGTAGTGCTACCTATGCTGTAGTGCTACCTATGATCTAGTGCTACATATGCTGTGGTGCTACCTATGCTGTAGTGCTACCTGTACTGTAGTGCTACCTATGCTGTGGTGCTACCTATGCTGTAGTGCTACCTGTACTATAGTGCTACCTGTGCTCTAGTGCTACCTGTGCTGCAATGCTACCTATGCTGTAGTGCTACCTATGCTGTAGTGCTACCTATGCTGTAGTGCTACTTATGCTGTACTGCTACCTATGCTGTAGTGCTACCTATGCTGTAGTGCTACCTATGCTGTCGTGCTACCTATGCTGTAGTGCTACTTATGCTGTACTGCTACCTATGCTGTAGTGCTACCTATGCTGTAGTGCTACCTGTGCTGTAGTGCTACCTATGCTGTAGTGCTGCTGTAGTGCTACCTGTGCTGTAGTGCTACCTATGCTGTAGTGCTACCTATGCTGTAGTGCTACCTGTGCTGTAGGGCTACCTATACTGTAGTGCTACCTATGCTGTAGTGTTATCTATGATGTAGTGCTACCTATGCTGTAGTGCTACCTGTGCTGTAGTGCTACATGTGCTGTACTGCTACCTGTGCTTTAGTGCTACCTGTGTTGTAGGGCTACCTATACTGTAGTGCTACCTATACCTGTGTTGTAGTGCTACATGTGCTGTACTGCTACCTGTGCTGTAGTGCTACCTTGCTGTAGTGCTACCTATGCTGTAGTGCTACCTATGCTGTAGTGCTACCTATGCTGCAGTGCTACCTCTGCTCTAGTGCTACCTATACTGTAGTGCTACCTATGCTGCAGTGCTACCTCTGCTCTAGTGCTACCTATACTGTAGTGCTACCTATGCTGTAGTGTTACCTATGATGTAGTGCTACCTGTGCTGTAATGTTACCTATGCTGTAGTGCTACCTATGCTGTAGCGCTACCTATGCTGTAGGGCTACCTGTGCTGTAGTGCTACCTATGCTGTAGTGATATGCTGTAGTGCTACCTATGCTGTAGTGCTACCTATGCTGTAGTGATATGCTGTAGTGCTACCTATGCTGTAGTGCTACCTATGCTGAAGTGCTACCTATGCTGTAGTGCTATGCTGTAGTGCTACCTATGCTGTAGGGCTACCTATGCTGTAGTGCTACCTGTGCTGTAGTGCTACCTGTGCTGTAGTGCTACCTGTGCTGTAGTGCTACCTATGCTGAAGTGCTACCTTTGCTGTAGTGCTATGCTGTAGTGCTACCTATGCTGTAGGGCTACCTATGCTGTAGTTTTACCTGTGCTGTAGTGCTACCTGTGCTGTAGTGCTACCTGTGCTGTAGTGCTTCCTGTGCTGTAGTGGTATGCTGTAGTGCTACCTATGCTGTAGTGCTACCTATGCTGAAGTGCTACCTATGCTGTAGTGCTACCTATGCTGTAGGGCTACCTATGCTGTAGTGCTACCTGTGCTGTAGTGCTACCTGTGCTTTAATGCTACCTATGCTGTAGTGCTACCTATGCTGTAGTGATATGCTGTAGTACTACCTATGATGTAGTGCTACCTATGCTGTAGTGCTACCTATGCTGAAGTGCTACCTATGCTGTAATGCTACGTATGCTGTAGTGCTACCTATGCTGTAGTGCTACCTGTGCTGTAGTGCTACCTGTGCTGTAGTGCTACCTATGCTGTAGTGCTACCTATGCTGTAGGGCTACCTATGCTGTAGTGCTACCTGTGCTGTAGTGCTACCTGTGCTGTAGTGCTACCTGTGCTGTAGGGCTACCTGTACTGTAGTGCTTCCTATGCTGTAGTGCTATCTGTGATGTAGTGCTACCTATGCTGTAGTGCCACCTATGCTGTAGGGCTACCTGTGCTGTCGAAACTCTCCCTCAGCTGTTGGTGCGCCACCTGCCTGAGGTAGATGAAGATGCTGACGACGGTGATGAGGACCGCCATAGCCAGGAAGTAGAAGACAAACAGGAAGAGGTCGGACCCAGAGAACAACCCCCCGGGCTGTTTCTTGGCGGGCGGGGTGGGCGTCACTTCCGTTTTGTTATTCACTATCTGTTCCTCCTTCTCATGCGACGAATTTCCTTGACCTTGACCTGACAGCAAATGACCTTGTCAGTACAATGACTCATGTTGCGTCATGTCATAATGTAACTTGTGTTTCAGGATGCTGACCCATGTCCACACACAGCATGACACACTTACATACACACACCTTGACCTACTCACACACCATTCCCACTGCGTGACCCACTTAGCTCACGCCCTGACCTACTCACACACCATTCCCACTGCGTGACCCACTTAGCTCACACCCTGACCTACTGACCCACTTAGCTCACGCCCTGACCTCCTCACACACCATTCCCACTGCGTGACCCACTTAGCTCACACCCTGACCTACTGACCCACTTAGCTCACGCCCTGACCTACTCACACACCATTCCCACTGCGTGACCCACTTAGCTCACATCCTGACATACTGACCCACTTAGCTCACACCCTGACCTACTGACCCACTTACTATCTACACAATGTTTGCCCGTCCTCCCCTCCACACAGTGGTAACACTGTCCGTTGTAGTGACAGAGCTGGTCCACACAGTTTCCCAGCACCCCCTAGACACGACCCCAGTTTCCCAGCACCCCCTAGTTTCCCCCTTTACCTCCTACACAATGTTTGCCCGTCCTCCCCTCCACACAGTGGTAACACTGTCCGTTGTAGTGACAGAGCTGGTCCACACAGCCCATGCTGCAGATCTCATCACAGTACAGCCCGTACACGGGGGACGAGCAGTCTGGACGGGCGTCACGTGACCGACGGTAGCACGCAGCCGACACGAGGGGTGACATAGGGAGGGGAAACAGGAAGTTTGACAAAATGTAACTACGCAGTCTAGCTTCACATATAACATGTCACACATGTACACATATTTTGTAACATACACGTATATATTGCAACATATAGCACGCATATTTTGCAACACATACACGTATATATTGCAACATATAGCACGCATATTTTGTAACACATACACGCATATTTTTGTCACACATATCATACACACACGTCTTGTAACTTATAGCACGCTGCACAGTACCACTCGAAACAGCAACACGTGTAAAAACAACATAAGGGGAAAAACGACATTCGCAACATACCCCGACACACAACAAATTTCCGACCACACCCCACAACCTACCCCTGTAGGCCGCCACCCCGACCTACCCCCCACCCCCACCACACCCCCAACCCCGACATAACCCCAACACCGGCCTACACCCCCACCTACCCCCGACCTACCCCCGTAGGCCTCTATCTCATAAAGCTCCAGGCTCGCATCACGACTGACGTCACCAGAAGTTTCCCAGACGACGTCCAGACGTCCAATGGGCTCGTGCACGACTGACGTCACCAACATCCGCCCCCTGACGTCTCTGGCCAGGCGGGTGTAGTTGGCCAGGCTATGGCCAAACTCTCCGATACACTCGATCCTGAACCCAGGGTCAAGGCCGAACTGGACAGCGTCTAGGGGATATAGGAGAATATGGGTCGGACAGGGAACGTCATCGGCATGAGATTAACATCAGCTATAAGAAAGACGTAGGCCTACATTGTCACTAGGATAATAAACATCCATTATCGAATAATGTTTTCACCAAAAGGGCCAAGATAACGTAGACATGAGATAACGTCAAGAAAAGATGACGTAGGCACGAGATGACGTAGAGAAGAAGTGACGTCTAACCGGTCCGGGCATAGACGACCATCTGAAAGATGCGCTGGGGCTGGCGGAAGGTGATGGTCACTCTCTGTCTGACCGGGTTCGGCATCAAGGACAGTGACGTCACTTCCGTGTCTCCGTTGGTGGCGATGCTGGCATCAAGACCGTACATGGTGGGGGTGGATGACGTCTCTCCGTTTGGCGCCACGTTCCTTCCTGTAGCACACAAACAGCCACTCTACTTCATCTACTTACAATCTTTCTATCATTAACAATTTAAGCATAATGCACAACATATTTGGCTCCATGAATCACGTCAGAGTTATCGGCTCCTAATATAAATATAAATTACACATACACACACATTATATACAAACTTGATATATCTAATTTATAAATATCAAATGGTTTATGTTGCTCTGAATGTGGCATTAGAGGAATGTAGTAAAAAAAACTCGACCTGCTTGTCATAGTGTAATACACCTAAAGTATTCATATCTAAATTAATGATTTAAAACATTATTTTATAAAGTTATGTAAAACAAACTTCATTTCCCGAACGTAAAATTTAAGTCATGCAGCGTAAACAAAGGCAAAGAATAATGTGTCATCCTGACCTTCACAAAAATTTGAAATTACTTCACTTTTATCCTTTACTGCTAATTACTTCCCTTGATAGATGACAGTACCAAAACAAAATCATGTCGGAAAAAAAATCCTTTTTATTACCTTATTTTGGTGTTAGAAAAATAATTATATAATTTGCACGGATATTTTAAACGAGAAAAATGGCCCGTTGAGGAAGGATACACCGGGCGCTAGGTTGATAGTGCTGTCTCTTTTCTCTAAACAAAAACCACCCCCCACACACACCACCCCCACCCCCACCCACACCCCCACCCACACCACCCCAACCCCCCACCCCCCCCCACACACCCCCCCACACACCACCCCCCCACCCCCACCCCTACACACACCACCCCACACACACACCACCCCCCCACCCCCCACCCCCCACCCCCCCACCCCCCCCAAAAAAAACATGTCTACCGTCCCATTCAACGAAATATAATTATATACTTTTTCCAGTGTCCGCCCCCTCCCCGAAAATTCTACACCCGCCCCCGAAAATTTCAAGTACCCTCACCCCTCTCCGGGGAGGAAAAAGTCTAAATTAAAACCACCCCCCACTCACCCCCACCCCCCCCCCACACACACACCACCACCCCCCCCACCCCCCCCCCCCCCCCCCCAAAAAGCATGTCTACCGTCCCATTCAACAAAATATAATTATATACTTTTTCCAGTGTCCGCCCCCTCCCCGAAAATTCTACCCCCGCCCCCGAAAATTTCAAGTACCCCCACCCCTCTCCGGGGAGGAAAAAGTCTAAATTAAAACCACCCCCCCACTCAACCCCCCCCCCCACCCCCACCCCCCTCAGACGTTCTTACGCGGGGGTGGGGCTTCGCCCCTACCCGAAGAATTGTATGCAAGAAACTCTTCACGCAAACCATTTAGATTAGACAACATTTCCTTTTTTCAATGTTTCAATGACGTCATTACATTACTGTGTGCACTCTCTGGTTTGAGATTATGTTCTACTCTACGCTAAATGTGTCGACGTCATATTTCGTTTTTCGAATTACTGTGCAGGTTTTTAAATTCCTTGTGTTTTCTCTAGAGCGTTCTTGTCAGACAGATAGATAGATAGATAGAGAGACAGCGAAACTATTATTATAGATACTACCTTTATTTATACCTTTACTACCTTTATTTTATACACTGAACGTACTGTTTACTAATTATTATTTTTAATCAAGAACAGTTCAGAAGCCAATCCTTATCGTCCTCTATGTTTACTTCTAACTTTCCGTTTGCGGACAAGCTTGGGGTATTATAGTCGTTCGATTTGGCGCCCTGGGCTATCATGTAAGCTCTATGGTGCATATGTTCGTTTTATACAGCGCGATAGACTATGGATAGACTCTGGATAGACTATGGATAGACTCTGGATAGACTATGGATAGACTATGGATAGACTATGGATAGACTATGGATAGACTATGGATAGACTCTGGATAGACTATGGATAGACTATGGATAGACTATGGATAGACTATGGATAGACTCTGGATAGACTATGGATAGACTATGGATAGACTATGGATAGACTCTGGATAGACTCTGGATAGACTATGGATAGACTATGGATAGACTATGGATAGACTATGGATAGACTATGGATAGACTATGGATAGACTATGGATAGGCTATGGATAGACTATGGATAGACTATGGATAGGCTATGGATAGACTATGGATAGACTATGGATAGACTATGGATAGACTATGGATAGACTATGGATAGACTATGGATAGACTATGGATAGACTATGGATAGACTATGGATAGACTATGGATAGACTATGGATAGACTATGGATAGACTATGGATAGACTATGGATAGACTATGGATAGACTATGGATAGACTATGGATAGACTATGGATAGACTATGGATAGACTCTGGATAAGACGGGTTATTCAAGTCCATAACTAAATCGAACCTAGGGCGTCCTCTGGCGCCCCTAAGGGTGCTATTTGGCGTCCAGGGCCTACACTTTAGCGCTATGGCGCCTACGTTTGTTTAAGTGAGTGCAAAAGACTATATATAGATTGGGGTATTATAGTCGTTTAATAAGTTGAATCAGGCAGTTCCGCCGGTGCTCCGGCAGGGTGCGATTTGGCGCCCCGGACTAGATTGTGAGCACTATGCGTTAATGTTTACATTTCTGTCATGGAATTTTAAGCCCCTACGTTTTTGCTCTACTTCAACTGTGTAAAGCCATTTAAGTGATTGGGAGTGTGACCTACTTAGGTCTTGTATTTTTTTAGTTTGACTTTTATTACTCAACCATGAGTGACTGTGGTGCAACCACCGGTACTTTTCCATAGTTCCAAGAAAGACATATACCCAGTACTTTTCCATCACGAGTGGTGGTGCAATACTTTTATACTTTCGATTGGTTGATTCGGACATCGGAGGTGTCCCAACCAATAGTCTTATGTTTTGAAGGTGACCTCCCATGTTGCCTCAGGTGTCAAATAGTCTGCGCACACTTTTCTGCAGGCAGCCGAACACGGCAGTCCATAGCAGCAGTCAGACCAGACATCTTTGAGAGAGAAAGCCTTGAGTGTCGCTATTTTGTAGCCTATAGTTTTTAAGCCGCTTGTTCCCTTATTACTTGTGGTTTTAAGTAATATTTTGTGCTTTAAGTAGTGTCGTATAAGCTGTGGTGATTTTCTTGAGTGCCATATCCTGTGATAGTGTAACATAGTGTTTTTTCTACAAATTGTAAGTTGGGTTTTTGTTATTTTACTCATTCATTTTATTCCGTATAAAGCTAGAGTCTTATCTTGAATTTGTACACATATTAAAAGTTATATATGGATTAAATGTGTTGTTGGTATCAGGAGTTCATCGAGTGTATCCCCTAGACGTTAAGTACGTGTCCTCGTTAACTGTTGTGCTAGCTATCATTTATAGGGCTTTATGCCATCTGTGTATAACCATCTAAACGAACCCGGGTACGTTCGCCAGCTATCTGGCTGATAGATTGGTGTTTCGTAATAGGAGTCACAAACAAAACACGGGAAATAACCTGAAACACAAACAACTGAACTATACAAACTTACCCCAACATATAAACATTGACATAGTCAGATATACAAACAATGACATAGCCCAACATATAAACATTGACATAGTATAAAAAAAAAACATAAACTTACCCCTACATATAAACATTGAAATAGCTCAATATACAAACATTGACATATCCATCATACAAACATTGACAGTCTAAAAAACATATACTTACCCCAACATATAAACAATGACATAGTCTAACAAGCATATATTTACCCAAACATATAAAACTGACTTACCACAACATACAAACACAGACTTACCGCCACTTACATAAACAGAACAAATGATATGGCGCACGTCCCAGGTCAAGATGACCTTGTCCACGTATTTGATGGTCAAATCACACGCAATGTCCATGACCTTGGTGGCGACCTTGATGGAGCTCTGGTTCCGACAGTCGTGTCTGACCGTACCGGATTCAAACCTGATGGCGTAGTTCTTTAGTTCGTCTGTTGGGGCAAGTGTTAGTAGTTCTTTAGTTCGTCTGTTGGGGCAAGTGTTAGTAGTTCTTTAGTTCGTCTGTTGGGGCAAGTGTTAGTAGTTCTTTAGTTCGTCTGTTGGGGCAAGTGTTAGTAGTTCTTTAGTTCGTCTGTTGGGGCATGGGTTAGTAGTTCTTTAGTTCGTCTGTTGGGGCAAGTATTAATAGTTCTTTAGTTCGTCTGTTGGGGAAAGTGTTAGTAGTTCTTCAGTTCTTCTGTTGTGTCAAGTGTTAGTAGTTCTTTAGTTTGCCTGTTGGAGCATGGGTTCTTTAGTCCACCAGGTGTTCTTACCTTTAACGACGAGTCTCAGCCAGGTAAAGTACTGAGCCTCCTTGAGCTTAAGCTCCAAGCTCATGACCTCAGGTCTCTTGGCACACGTGACGTCATTGTTGTCAGTGACGAGAGGCAGATTGGACCTTGCCGCGAACTTTGAACTCACCAGGTTTCCTGGGGTCACGTGTAAACCTACTGTACTGACACGTGTAAACCTACTGTACTGACGCGTGTAAACCTACTCTACCAGCCAACATCTGTAAACCTACTATACTGACACATGCAAACCTACTGTATCAACCACCACATGAAAACCTACGGTACTAACCACCACAGGTTTGAACCTACTGTACCAATCAACACATGTAAACCTACTGTACTAACCACCACATGTAAACCACAGGTTTGAACCTACTGTACCAACCACCAAGCACAGGTTTGAACCTACTGTACCAAGCACAGGTTTGAACCAACTGTACCAAGCACAGGTTTGAACCTACTGTACCAAGCACAGGTTTGAACCTACTGTATTGACAGGCTGTACCGAACCAGTCATCAGCACACCTGGTCTGTGGGCTGAGACACTCGGGGACACCGCACCTGTCCTTGACACAGTGACACAGTAACTGGCGGTCTCGACCCACCCAGAACATGCTGACCTCTGAAACAGACAGAAACGAACATTGACAGAAACATCTAGAACACTAACAGAAAGATCTAGAACATTGACAGAAACATTTAGAACACTAACAGAAACATCTATAACATTGACAGAAACAGCAAGAACATTGACAGATACATTTTGAACATTGACAGAAACAGCTAGAACAGGTATAGAAACATCTAGAGCATTGATAGAAACATCTAGAACAGTGACAGAAACATCTAGAACATTGACAGAAACATCTAGAACAGTGACAGAAACATCTAGAACATTGATAGAAACATCTAGAACATTAACAGAAACATCTAGAACAGTGACAGAAACATCTAGAACATTTATAGAAACATCTAGAACATTGACAGAAACATCTAGAACATTGATAGAAACATCTAGAACATTGACAGAAACATCTAGAACATTTATAGAAACATCTAGAACATTGACAGAAACATCTAGAACATTGATAGAAACATCTAGAACATTGACAGAAACATCTAGAACATTGATAGAAACATATAGAACATTGACAGAAACATCTAGAACATTGACAGAAACATCTAGAACATTTATAGAAACATCTAGAACATTGACAGAAACATCTAGAACATTGATAGAAACATCTAGAACATTGACAGAAACATCTAGAACATTGACAGAAACATCTAGAACAGTGACAGAAACAGCAAGAACATTGACAGAAACAGCTAGAACATTTATAGAAACATTTAGAACATTGACAGGAACATTTAGAACACTAACAGAAACATCTAGAACATTGACAGAAACATTTAGAACATTGACAGGAACATTTAGAACACTAACAGAAACATCTAGAACATTGACAGAAACATTTAGAACATTGACAGGAACATTTAGAACACTAACAGAAACATCTAGAACATTTATAGAAACATCTAGAACATTGACAGAAACATCTAGAACATTGACAGAAACATCTAGAACAGTGACAGAAACATCTAGAACATTGATAGAAACATCTAGAACATTGATAGAAACATCTAGAACATTGTAGAAACATCTAGAACATTGATAGAAACATCTAGAACATTGACAAGCTAGAACATTGTACCTGGTCCTGGTGGTGTGGTCGTCCTTGGTTTGGTTGTGGTTGTTGCTGTTGTAGTTGCTGTGGTTGTTGACGCTGTAGTTTTTAGTTTTCCTGGAATATTTTAAAATATTAGGGTTTCGCTAATATTGGCTATTATTTTAGTTTAGATTAGGCTAAGGATTAGATCGCGATAATTGTTAGGTGTGTGCATTATATAATAATAGTTGGATATACATTGAGTTAAGGCATATGTTCACCTATAGGTATTTGGGTTGGGTATGAGCAAAATGTGAACTTTACTATAGAATAAGGTTTTGGCTCATTTTGGTAGAAATACCAGCACGTTAAGCTGGAGCGTGACGTCACGTACTGCAGGAGTATGACGTCATGTGATATCACGTGATGCCGGGGACGCCTGCATGACGTCAGTGTATCCAGTCTGGTTCACTCACCCGGCGTCAAGCACAGTACAGAGATGACCACGCCGCACTCCTCCGTCCTCAGCACGTCCTGGTCGAACTTAACACAGTCCTTGCCCTCACTGTTGGCAGCCGACATCATCCGGGCAAGTGTTGATGTAGCGGCCGAGTTGTCGTGGTCCCAGACAAAAACGCCCTCAGTGGCGCGGTCGTTGAGGCCGGTCCAGACTGGGGCAATAGGACAAAAGGTCAAAGGACAAAAGGTCAAAGGATCACAGGACAAAAGGTCAAAGGACACTAAGAAAAAAACGTTAAGGGACAATAGGTAAGATGTAACTAGGACAATTGGTCAAAAGACAACAGGACAATGCAACCACATCACGATTTGTGAGTCTGAAGACAATACAGATACTAATGAAATCGGTTAATTAACCTACAGTTGACAATACAGATACTAATGAAATCGGTTATTTAACCTACAGTTGACAATACAGATACTAATGAAATCGGTTAATTAACCTACAGTTGACAATACAGATACTAATGAAATCGGTTAATTAACCTACAGTTGACAATACAGATACTAATGAAATCGGTTATATAACCTACAGTTGCTTATAAATAGGTTAAAATTAAGCTACACTAAGTAATTTTTAAAAAATTAGTTAATTTAGTCTAATTAATGAAATCGTTAAATCGTTTAATGAACTTACAATTCTCAACTAGCTGAAGTTGACGAAAAATGTCCATGTACTCCAAAGATGGGAGGTAGGACATGACGTACCCATGGTGTTCACATCGGACCTGGAACATATGGCCAAACAAGGTTGGGCCATTCAGAGTGGGGCCATTAAGTGGCGGCAGTAGAGTGACTGGCCACATTGCCCGAATACAGTAATGTATCAATGGTAGTGGATGACAATTTTTAAATGATCACAACTTACTGCGCATGCCCAGAATAATGACTTACTGCGCATGCACAAACTAATGACTTACTGCGCATGCCCAGAATAATGACTTACTGCGCATGCCCAGAATAATGGCTTACTGCGCATGCCCAGAATAATGACCCAGGTGAGATTTACCTTTGACTGCTGCCATGTTCCTTGTTCATGCGGCATCCAATAACAAAGTTGTTCGACCTCGTAATAATTCTCTGGGCACGCTAAGAGGTCAGTTGTAAATTGTGATTTTCAAGTCTATATCTAAATCTCTATCTATCTATATCTATAACTCTGTATCTATTTATCTATCTATTTATCTATCTATCTAGGGTCTATCTAGGATCTATCTATCTATCTATCTATCTATCTATCTATCTATCTATCTATCTATCTATCTATCTATCTATCTATCTATCTATCTATCTATCTATCTATCTATCTATCTATCTATCTATCTATCTATCTATCTATCTATCTATCTATCTATCTATCTATCTATCTATCTATCTATCTATCTATCTATCTATCTATCTATCTATCTATCTATCTATCTATCTATCTATCTATCTATCTATCTATCTATCTATCTATCTATCTATCTATCTATCTATCTATCTATCTATCTATCTATCTATCTATCTATCTATCTATCTATCTATCTATCTATCTATCTATCTATCTATCTATCTATCTATCTATCTATCTATCTATCTATCTATCTATCTATCTATCTATCTATCTATCTATCTATCTATCTATCTATCTATCTATCTATCTATCTATCTATCTATCTATCTATCTATCTATCTATCTATCTATCTATCTATCTATCTATCTATCTATCTATCTATCTATCTATCTATCTATCTATCTATCTATCTATCTATCTATCTATCTATCTATCTATCTATCTATCTATCTATCTATCTATCTATCTATATCTACATATATATATATATAAATATATATATATATATATATATATATATATATATATATATATATATATATATATATATATATATATAATTGTATCCCCACACCACATATGTCTAGCAACAGACCCCCCCACCCCCCCTCCCACCCTACGCCACATATCTAGAAGCAGACGTCACCTACCATTGGCCATACACAGTGACATGGCCGTAGAACTGCAGGCGTACACACGCAGACGATAGGTGTCGCCTTCAAAGCCGGCACAGTTGAAATCGAAAGTAGTCGCTTTTGGCTCGCCCCTGTCCCAGATATCTAGGTCAACCGGAAGTTTGTCGTGGTCCCAGACAAAAGTGCCCTCCTGCTCAATATCGTTTGCGGCAACCCAGACTGAGGGCAGAGTCAAAAACTTAATGAGATGGGCAGTCAAAAATTAATCAAATATCACATACACAGGTAATGGGACAAAAATGTCACATACACAGGAAATGGGACAAAAATATCACATAAACAGGAAATGGGACAAAAATGTCACATACACAGGAAATGGGACAAAAATATCACATACACAGGAAATGGGACAAAAATATCACATACACAGGAAATGGGACAAAAATATCACATACACAGGAAATGGGACAAAAATATCACATACACAGGAAATGGGACAAAAATATCACATACACAGGAAATGGGACAAAAATATCACATACACTGATTTTCCGTGATTCGGTCCAGACTGCTAATGACATTTCGTGTGACTGAAGCCAGCACCATACCGTTTTTAATACAGTAAATCTGGGGGGGGGGGGGGAGGAGAAAAATGATTAATTAAAACAGGTAACGTAAAAAAGAGGCATATATTTTCCTAAACTCGAACTTTGAAATAATTTAAAGTAGGCTACACAATAAGTTGTCAGCGTAGTTTAAATTTGATTGAAAACACATGCACGGCCTGTTCAGCGTGACTGGCTTAAATTGATCTCAGGGTGATTAGATTAAATTGATCTCAGAAAATGGTTTGTATAAAACCTCACCTAGGGTGTGTTCTAACAGTTTTGGGATTACCTCAGCTTCCGAACATGACCTAGACATTTTTGGGCTGACCATGGCATCTGGCCATGACCTAGAAAAGTTTCTGAATGACCTTGGCGTTCAGCCATGACCCAGAAAAGTTTCGGACTGACCTTGGCGTTTGGCCATGACCTAGAAAAGTTTTGGGCTGACCTTGGTCATGACCTAGAAACATTTTGGACTGACCTTGGTGTCCGGCCATGACCTAGAAACGTTTTGGACTGACCTTGGCTTCCTGCCATGACCTCAGCGTCGCGTCCTGGTGGTAGCAGACGCCACTGACCGTATCCGTGCAGCGTATCGTGTTTCCTGCTCATTCGTTCATACAGTTCATTAGCAATTAGCTTTATTAATCTAAACAACATAGTTTATTAACTTATGTGTACTAGAGATAAGAACAAGCTGACCAATCACTGTGTTTGGACGGTGAGTGAATTCTTTAAACATTGTCACAACTTTAGCCAATTGTGTCACTTTGGACGGTGAGTGAACTCTTTAAACATTGTCACAACTTTAGCCACTTGTGATCACTAACTCACACAAGTCGAAACTTCAGCAAAAAGGTGTCAGCTTACAGGTAAACGCTAAAATAATAATCATTAAAAAAGTTTTTAAAAACCCACGTTTTCTGATTGAACTAAAAAGTAGAAAATAAATGCTATAGGCCCTACATCACAATAATGCAAGCGATCACTCTACTATAAGCGATCAAAAACGTGCGTACCTCGCGCGCAGTGAAGCGAACGATCACATGTCGCCACAGGCTTAGGGGCAGAGAATTTAGCTTGAACCGAGTTTAAACTTACAGGAGGTAGGCCAGTTTGGGGGAGACGATATGGTCGAGTGGTTGGGCACACGATTGCTATCCCACTCGACACGGGTTCAAATCTATGTGTTCTAGTCAGTAACGTATTCAAACAACGTGTTTTTTACGAGTTGTCTTTTTACGAGTTGTCTTTTTACGAGTTGTCTTTTTACGAGTTGTCTTCGTTTACCCAAAAAAAGTGAAAAGATAAAATCGATAGCAAGATTTTAATGCAAACAAACAGACAAAGACTAAAAAGTAGAAAATAATAATCATTAAAAAAGTTTTTAAAAACCCACGTTTTCTGATTGAACTAAAAAGTAGAAAATAAATGCTATAGGCCCTACATCACAATAATGCAAGCGATCACTCTACTATAAGCGAGCAAAAACGTGGGGCGCCGTGATTTTCTTACAGTTTCTAATACTGTTGACTCTCTACAAGCTCCCTAATAAAAGTCAATAGTATTATCTAATCAATAGTAATATAACTTTTACTTCGGCGCCCCACGTTTTTGATCGCTTATAGTAGAGTGATCGCTTGCATTATTGTGATGTAGGGCCTATAGCATTTATTTTCTACTTTTTAGTTCAATCAGAAAACGTGGGTTTTTAAAAACTTTTTTAATGATTATTATTTTTGTAATGGCTAGCAGAGGAGAATTATATATATAGATTATATAGCGGTCTAAAATGCTCAATAAAATGTTTCCATTGATCAATTTAGTAATAATAACAATTGAATATTCAATGGTCATCCAAAAGAAAGCTTCCCTGAAAATTTCAGCGCGCTAGCTAACTGGGAAGTGCCAGAAATTTCGATCGCAAGATTGGATTGGAAAGACAAACAAATAAATAAATAAACACACAGAGAAAGCAAGTTAAAGAAAACGTGGTAAAAAAATGTTCAGAAAGATGTTGATCAAGAACCCCCGCTCGCTTCCTTAGCATACCACCCCTATGTTGGTCACGTGTACCATTGCCCCCCCCCCCCCCCACATGGACGTGTATTACATCACCGACTTGTCAACGAATGGTTGGTTGTAAAATTTAGACCACATTATCGTACAATTAATTGTTATGTCATTTAAAATTAATGACCTCATTAATTGATTGGCACATACCTGGAGTTACAAGGCTGAAGATGAGAATCAGGGTTATGGCACTGGATGACCTGGGCTTATACTGTGTTTTATTTTCTGACGTCATCAGGGTCTGTTTGGTCAATCTGGGAACGTTTTTCCGTCTGTAAATCTACCTGTCTATAATTTTGCCTTTCGTAAATCTACCTGTATGAAAATCTACCCGTCTGCAAAACTGTCTATAAATCTACATGTATATAAATCTACCTGTCGTAAATCTAGATTTCTGTAATTGTTTATGTCTGTAGATCTGTAATCATCCTTTATACAATTTTACCCGTCTTGTAAATACATCTGTCTTTAAATCTACCTATAGTAAATCTACCTATAGTAATTCTACCTAGAATCTATAGTAAATCTAACTTTCTGTAAGATTTACGTGATCGCAACATTAACCCAAAGATGTAAGTATCACGGTACTGAGCAAGGTGCGGGAAGTTTATATACATTTTGGGATTATATATATTTCACTCCCACTTATGGGAGTCGTTTTTGTGACGTCACGAGATGGGGTATGCGGACCCCACGGGGTCACACCATTTGCGGGGGGGGGGGGGTGACACCAAGACCAAAAATTTCAAATTATATAGAATAAATGTTTTTTTTTACACGTGAATGAATGGTTAGAGTTTAAAAGTATTTTAAGTCCATATTGACAAGGAAGGAGGGGGGGGGGGGGGCACCTTGATGTAAACATGCTAATAGACTTGAACAGCTGGATCCAAATTTTCGTTGCCAGAAAGCATATTTTTTCAACCAAAATTAAATATTTTATAACCTTTGTGTAATAAGTACAAAGTTACTTCCGGTTTCATTAAGGTTAGAAATAGTCAAAGAAATAATTACTAGTAGGATAATAGTAATTTAGCTAACACTTTAATTTTTAATTTGGATTAGTAGAGTCAGGGTGTTGTGTTGATTGGGGATGTTATATTATTTAATATAAATACAATACTATGCAATACACCATAGATCACTATTGTGTATTTTTATCATGGAGAACAATTGTTAAGACTTTATAGTTTTATTCTCCCTGGCCATTCCGGTAGACTTGAAGTAGAGGTTAAGGGCAGTTTTTGAAAATATTTGAATTGATAAAGGAATTCTAAAGGGCTTTTCGACGGCTAATATTCGATACAAAAATAGACAAATGATGAAACTTTGCTACATCCAGCTGTATTAACAACCGACTATGGATAAATATAATTAGTATTAAATGTAGCACTTTAAAGCTTTTACGGGAGGGGGGGGGGGGAGGGTGAAACCAACTACATTTACAGAGAAAAAAAAGGGGGGGGGGGGGTGACACCCATCCTAGCAACGCCACTGACTAATGCTATTACTAACCCCTATAGGGTATAGCTATTGAGCCTAATTCAGTATGAAAATATTAATAGAAGGCATTGCATTCATAAGGCAGAACATTAAGTAGGGTAGATTTAGAACTTATCTTTGATACAAACAACACGATAGATCTAGATTTAGACTAGAACTAATCATTAATACAAGTGGATTATATTAGATATGATATCAAACATAAAACAAATTGTAAACCAAACACTATAGCAGCCATCAACGTCTTTTGGTGGGACGGACAAATGTGTGGGTAGACGTGGTACACGCGGGCCTGACCTGTTTACAATGTGTTGGAGGTGTAGGTTGAAAACTTTCACTTTACTCACACCAACATTAGACACGTGCGGTCAAGATGTAATAGTTTGACACCGGTGCGACACGGTGTAGAGACATATTTGTTCCCATCTGCAGGAGAGTGGTGTGAATGAAAACGTTGATCTGTAGGAGAGTGGTGTGAATGAAAACGTTGATGTGTAGGAGAGTGGTGTGAATGAAAACGTTGATCTGTAGGAGGGTGGTGTGAATGAAAACGTTGATGTGTAGGAGAGTGGTGTGAATGAAAACGTTGATGTGTAGGAGAGTGATGTGAATGAAAACATTGATGTGTAGGAGAGTGGTGTGAATGAAAACGTTGATGTGTAGGAGAGTGGTGTGAAAGAAAACGTTGATGTGTAGGAGAGGGGTGTGAATGAAAACGTTGATGTGTAGGAGAGTGGTGTGAATGTAAACGTTGATCTGTAGGAGAGTGGTGTGAAAGAAAACGTTGATGTGTAGGAGAGTGGTGTGAATGAAAACGTTGATGTGTAGGAGAGTGGTGTGAATGGAAACGTTGATGTGTAGGAGAGTGGTGTGAATGGAAACGTTGATGTGTAGGAGAGTGGTGTGAATGAAAACGTTGATGTGTAGGAGAGTGGTGTGAATGAAAACGTTGATGTGTAGGAGAGTGGTGTGAATGAAAACGTTGATGTGTAGGAGAGTGGTGTGAATGAAAACGTTGATGTGTAGGAGAGTGGTGTGAATGAAAACGTAGATCTGCCTTACCCTACGTTCAGCAACCCAGAGTATTTAGTAAAGAGCTAGATGAAGAGATCAATCTCTAGTAACGTGAATATAGCATCTCTTGAGACGGGTAAGGGAGGGGCTAGTCAGGCAACCGCCTAAGGCCCCAGTTCTTAAATTTTATTTTTCAAACCATTTTAAATTATTATATTTTTACATACTTTTGAAAGTACTTAACTGATGGTTTCAAGGCTCCAACTTCACCCCCCCCCGTGTGTCCAGGACACAAAGGGGAAAAGAAAAATGTACCAACTTTCATTTTGCAAAACACAGATAATAAATTATGGTATACCCAATTTGAAAATATTTCTTAACAAATCACGTGCACTTAATTGTGCGAGCTTTAGCTGTCATGGCTTCTTGATAAGGCTTTGAATGTGGTCAGATATTGACGATTCTAAAAAGTTATTCAAGTTATCACCAAGGATAAATAAGACAAAATTAATAAATCAGAAATCAATCAATAATCAATAAATAATCAATCAATAAAATCACCAGTAATTAAATCACCAATCAGTAAATCACCAGTCATTAAATCACCAATTAATAAATCAGAAATCTATAAATAATCAATCAATAAATAATCAATCAATAAAATCACCAGTAATTAAATCACCAATCAATAAATCACCAATCAATAAATCACAAAATTTATTTTGAAAATTTTTTATTACATGGGAAAACATGGCGCGGTACAAAAAAAACTACAATATACGAACCCTTCCCCCCCCCTCTATCCAACAAGCGTGTGAAGAGCAATGTCTGCCCACTGTCCGTCCAGAAGTTTGCGGCAACATCACTAGACCATGTACTCATAGGTTGACTTGACCTGCTGTCTTCTGACCTCGTCACCCCCAGCATTTGCTAATCCTGTTAGACAATCTACGTCACTCTACGTTACACCTACGTCACAACACTTCAGACGACGTGACGCCCCCCTCAGACGACGTGACGCCCCCCCCCCCCCCCCCCTCAGACGACGTGACGCCCCTACACCTCAGTGTCCCTGGACAGTCGACTGGCACCAGATTCCCAGGTGGTTCCAGTATATCTTGTGGTGGCCGCGGACACGACGGAATGCTGAAAGTCGTCGACTGGAAGAGGTGGAGTGGGTGGAGTGGGGGATGTATAAGAGGGTGGAGGTGTTAACACATAGTATAAATTATATGACGGTTCTTATCTAGGACTGGACAAAAGATCTCAGGACAAAATATCTAACACAGAATATCTTACATACATTATCCCAGACAAAACAGTATGTGTGTGAGGTAAACAGTATGTGTGTGTGAGGTAAATAGTATGTGTGTGTGTGAGGTAAACAGTGTGTGTGTGTGAGGTATTTCGTCAAGTAATCATCTCACCTTTACTGCATTATTTAAAAAAAAATATCATATACATGCGCGTGTTAGTGTAAATTTAAATATAAAGGCCATTTATAGGCTTACATATAAACTTTAACCCAAATAATTTTTGTGATAGGCAGAAAACTAGGGGAGGATAAAAAGACAGGACAACAGCTAGAGAGAGAGGTCAACAGCTAGAGAGGTCAAAAGCTAGAAGGGTCAACAGCTAGAGAGAGAGATCAACAGCTAGAGGTCAACAGCTAGAGAGGTCAACAGCTAGAGAGGTCAACAGCTAGAGAGGTCAACAGCTAGAGAGAGAGATCAACAGCTAGAGAGGTCAACAGCTAGAGAGGTCAACAGCTAGAGAGAAGTCAACAGTTAGAGAGGTCAAGAGCTAGAGGTCAACAGCTAGAGGTCAACAGCTAGAGAGTTCAACAGCTAGAGAGGTCACCAGCTATAGAGAGGTCAACAGCTAGAGAGGTCAACAGCTGGAGGTCAACAGCTAGAGAGGTCAACAGCTAGAGGTCAACAGCTAGAGAGGTCAACAGCTAGAGGTCAACAGCTACCTATAATGCTTTCCTCCAAAGACGTCCGAGAGATTAAACTATTTGTGCTCTCCACGGGGCCAATCTGTGATACGAACATTGGGATCTGGTGTTCGAAGTTGTCTGAAAAAATACGAACATTGGGGTCTGGTGTTTGGAGTTGTCTGAAAAAATACGAACATTGGGATCTGGTGTTCGAAGTTGTTTGAAAAAATACGAACATTGGGGTCTGGTGTTTGGAGTTGGCTGAAAAAATACGAACATTGGGGTCTGGTGTTTGGAGTTGGCTGAAAAAATACGAACATTGGGATCTGGTGTTTGGAGTTGGCTGAAAAAATACGAACATTGGGGTCTGGTGTTTGGAGTTGGCTGAAAAAATACAAACATTGTGGTCTGGTGTTTGGAGTTGGCTGAAAAAATACGAACATTGGGATCTGGTGTTTGGAGTTGGCTGAAAAAATACGAACATTGGGGTCTGGTGTTTGGAGTTGGCTGAAAAAATACGAACATTGGGATCTGGTGTTTGGAGTTGGCTGAAAAAATACTAACATTGGGGTCTGGTGTTTGAAGTTGGCTGAAAAAATACGAACATTGGAGTCTGGTGTTTGAAGTTGGCTGAAAAAATACGAACATTGGGATCTGGTGTTTGAAGTTGGCTGAAAAAATACGAACATTGGGGTCTGGTGTTTGGAGTTGGCTGAAAAAATACGAACATTTGAGCCTGGTGTTTGGAGTTGGCTGAAAAAATACGAACATTGGGGTCTGGTGTTTGGAGTTGTCTGAAAAAAATACGAACATTAGGGCCTGGTGTTTGGAGTTGGCTGAAAAAATACAAACATTAGGGCCTGGTGTTTGGAGTTGGCTGAAAAAATACGAACATTGGGATCCGGTGGAGGTGGCTGAAAAAATACGAACATTATGGTCTGGTGGAGTTGGCTGAAAAAATACGAACATTGTGGTCTGGTGTTTGGAGTTGGCTGAAAAAATACGAACATTGGGGTCTGGTGTTTGGAGTTGGCTGAAAAAATACGAACATTGGGGTCTGGTGTTTGGAGTTGGCTGAAAAAATACGAACATTGGGGTCTGGTGTTTGGAGTTGGCTGAAAAAATACGAACTTTGGGGCCTGGTGTTTGGAGTTGGCTGAACTTTAGGGCCACATGTATTCTGTTATTTTTAGATTAATTTCTATTTATTTAGAAAACTCTGGCTCAAATAAGAGATGCCAGCCTGAGAATCAACATTAGAGCAACCTGCAACCAACCAGTCACCAAACTGAGACCAACCAACCACCAACCTGAGACCAACCATCCACCAACCTGAGGTCATCCAACCACCAACCTGAGGTCATCCAGCCACCAACCTGAGACAATACAGACACCAACCAACCACCAACCTGAGACCACCTAACCACCAACCTGAGACCAACCATCCACCAACCTGAGACGATACTCCGCCTATGAACCTTTTCTATCTGCTGCGCCTTTCGTCTACAGCAGCAGAAGACGATGAAACAGAGCAGGAAGCAGACGACCGCTCCCAGGTACAACAGGAACACCACCAGGTCGAACCCGAAGAAAATCCAAGACTCTTTCGGTTCGTGTGTGGGCGGTGACGTCACATTCCGTGAGTCATCGAAGTCAAAACTTGCGTTGGAATTTCCTGTGGAGTGTAGACATCACGCGACAGTGTACACGTCACGTTACCGTTTTATCTCCCGTGCAATATATGCACCTCAACTAACATGCGCCCCTATAACACCATTATCTACACGATCCCATAACCCCCCAGAAGCCCCACATCTGACACATTCTAGACACGCCCTAATTTCCCAGCACCCCTAGACACGCCCCAGTTTCCCAGCACCCCCTGGACACGCCCTAGTTTCCCAGCACCCCCTAGACACGCCCTTGTTTTACCTCCTACACAATGTTTGCCCGTCCTCCCCTCCACACAGTGGTAACACTGTCCGTTGTAGTGACAGAGCTGGTCCACACAGCCCATGCTGCAGATCTCATCACAGTACAGCCCGTACACGGGGGACGAGCAGTCTGGGGAGGGTGCGCATGCGCTAGTCTAAATATAGCACAGTAGTGGGCAGAACTATATTAGTTACATTGGTGCAAACGTCGTATTGTTCTACCAATATCACATTGACCTATAAATGTCACGGTGACCTACCAATGTCTTGTTGACCTATCAATGTCTTGTTGACCTACCAATATAATGTCACGTTGACCTACCAATGTCACTGTGACCTACCAATATCAAGTTGACCTACCAATGTCACTGTGACCTACCAATATCAAGTTGACCTACCAATGTCAAGTTGACGTACCAATGTCACGTTGAATTACCAATGTCATGTAGACCTACCAATGTCACGTTGACCTACCCCCAAAAACCTCCAACTCGCAAACCTCCATCGGGTGCCCAGGTTGGGTCACCAGGTTGACATCTACACGCATGGCTGGTCTCCTCACGATGGATTTGAACCTCAGACGTCCAGTGACGTCCGCTCTCACGCCCGTCAAGTTCTGCAGACTGACCTCCCCCTCCCCCACAACCTCCAGCCGGAAGCCGTTCAATGTGCCGTACGAAGTGTTAGCTGTTAGAGGAGACAGGTGGGCAAGTTCAAGGATAACCAGGTGAGACAGGTGGGCAAGTTCAAGGTTAACCAGCTGAGACAGGTGGACAAGTTCAAGGTTAACCAAGTGAGACAGGTGGGCAAGTTCAAGGTTAACCAGCCAACACAGGTGGGCAAGTTCAAGGTTAACCCGCTGAGACAGATGGGCAGGTTCAAGGTTAACCAGCTGAGACAAGTGGGTAAGTTCAAGGTTAACCAGCTGAGACAGGTGGGCAAGTTCAAGGTTAACCAGCTGTGACAGATGGGCAGGTTCAAGGTTAACCAGCTGAGACAGATGGGCAAGTTCAAGGTTAACCAGCCAAGACAGGTGGGCAAGTTCAAGGTTAACCATCTGTGACAGATGGGCAAGTTCAAGGTTAACCAGCCAAGACAGGTGGGCAAGTTCAAGGTTAACCAGCTGTGACAGATGGGCAAGTTCAAGGTTAACCAGCCAAGACAGGTGGGCAAGTTCAAGGTTAACCAGCTGTGACAGATGGGCAAGTTCAAGGTTAACCAGCTGTGACAGATGGACAAGTTCAAGGTTAACCAGCTGAGACAGGTTCAAGGTTAACGAGCCTGTCGATGTGTCTCACTTACCTGTCGATGTGTGTATGACGATTTCCGTGATGAGCTTTGGTGTGCTAAAGACCAGCTGCAGCTGCTGATGAGTCACGGTGTCATTCAGCACCAGACACGGCTGTGTCATTTGGCCGTCCACCGCAGCATCTGACGGCGTCGTGTTGGCCGCCGGACTGTGAGACACCCTGCTCTTTAGCGCCAGGTTTCTTCCTGAAACATTTTGGGTACTTGATGATCAGTAGGATAGGGGAAATAGAGTTGACGATTCGTGTAAGGTACGTTTTAGAGCTGGGTGGACTCAGTGACGTATGTTTATGTGAGGTACCTAATAGAACTGATTGGAGTCTATGGCTATAACCTTGGGAGCCAATATAGAGACATTCAGGACAAAATGTCACCCCGGTCTTTCCGGTCAGCGCTGTGGCGCCTATGTTCGTTTTAAACAGTGAGATAGACTATGGATAAGATGGGGCGTTACAGTCATTCACTAAATTGTATCAGGCGCATTCGCCGGCGCCCAGGTATGGTGTGATTTGGTGTCCCGAGCTATCCGTGTTATGGCGCCGACGTTTGTATTAAACTCTCCTAATATATTTCGTCAGATTTTATTTTTGCTACACCTTTCATTTGATCACCATGAAACTTTGGGAAGTTGTTCAGAATACTCCTGGGGAGGTTTCTGCACAAAAAAATGTCAATTTTGAACGGGCAGCGCCCCGGCATGGTGCGATTTGCCGCCCCGGGTTATCACGTGAGCGCTATAGCACCTACGTTAGTTTTAAAGAGTGTGATAGAATATTGATAAGAAGTAGTATTATAGTCATTCACTAAACTAGATCAGGCGCGTTTTACAGGCAGGGTACGATTTGTCCTGGGCTATCCTGGGACTTTTGTAGTCCCGCGGGGACGGGCACGCTAGTACTTATATACATCCAAACATCCACCTACCCATCCATCCACCCATTCACCTACCCATTCAACCACAAATCCACCCATCGATCCATCCAGACCGTCTCACCTCCACTGATGTAGAGAGAACAGATCACGTGATGAACTCGCCAGCTGACGGTGACCTTGGTGACGTAGACTGTGCCAAGGTTACATGCCAGGTCCAGGGTTGTGGGTGTGGGTTGTAGGACACTCATGTGGGTGCAGGCCCGGGGGGTAAGGCCAGAGAACGCTTGCACAGTGTAGTGATCTATCTTGTCTGGGGGTCAAGGTCGAACAAAAGAATACATAAGTTCAAGGTTTTACAGCGTGTTAGAAAGGTCAAGGCTGGTCTTGTGGTAACAGAGGTCAAGGTTATACCGTTGTTTACTCACCCTTGACGACTATCCGTATCCACGTGATAACCTGTTCCTCACGAAACTTGACGGTCACTGACCTCTCCGTGTCCTGATGGCACGTGCTGTCGTTGTTGTCTGTGAGCGAGGGCAAGCTGGACTCTAGGACGTAGGCGGCGCCAGCCAAGTTTCCTGCAAGTAGGTCAGTTACACCGATGTACCTATGTCAGTTACACCGATGTACGTATGTAAATAACATCACTGTAAGTAGGTTAGTTACATCACCAGAAGAGGGTCAATTACACCGATTTACGTAGGCCAATCACATCTCTAGAAATAGGTCAGTTGTATATATGTAAGTAGGTCAATTACACCGATGTACGTAGGTAAGCTACAGCTATGTAGGTTATAGGCCAATTATATGGATGTAAATAGGTCAATTACACCCATGTAATTTAGAAAATTATATCAATGTGAGCAAGTTAATTACATCAATAAACGTAGGTAAGGTACGGAGGTGTAAGCAGGTCAATTACGTCGATGTAAATATGCCAATAACATAAACATTTCAATTACATCAACATAAGTAGGTCAGATACATTGCGATGGGAGGCGTCTCTCGTTTAAGTGTAATAAAAACAACAAATAAGCGTCTATGGGCTTGATGAATTTGATTTACACTGACGACTGACCCAGTCACTTCTTCTAGACTCAATGACCCATATAGTGTTGTCTTGACCTTTTTACCCATTGACCTACTGACCTACTGAACCGTCCATCAAACTTACTATACTGGCACCTCAACCCGAACCAGTTCTGCTCACACGGGGCGGTGTCCCCCTGGCACGCCCCCGCCCCACAGTGGGGCGCCTCACAGTGACACAAGAACAGGTCGCCTTGGCCGAACCAGACCTTGGGCGCTGAAAGAAATTTTGTGGTTGGTCCTTGCATTCAAAGATAGAGGTAAGATCGGGACAAGACACATATATTTTAGTGGGGACAAGACACATATATTTTAGTGGGGACAAGACACAGATATTTTAATGGGGACAAGACACAGATATTTTAATGGGGACAAGACACAGATATTTTAGTGAGAAATAGACAGATATTTTAGTGGGGACAAGACCGATACACCCCGCCCCCTTCCCACCGAAATTGTCATAAAGCCACCTGGATATCATTAGATCATCATTCAGAAAACCAGATTGACCATGTCGCGGTTGGAGGAACTCACTGCAGGATGTGAGAACAAAGCGAGGAGCAGACATAGAATCCGACCACCACCTGGTTGTTGCTAAACTGAAGTTGAAGCTAAAGGCGAAGAAGAGGCAACATGAAATTGATTCACGAAGAAGATTTGATGTAGGTTAACTTAAGACACAAGACAAGACAAATTTTCAGGTCACCCTGAATAATCAAACTTCTACAGACAGAAGAAAAAGATTTTGATTCAGTTGAACACACCTGGGAAATATTGAAGCAAGTCACTATCAAAGCCTGCGAAGAGGCTCTAGGAAGAAAAGTGCCCAACATGAAGCCCTGGGTCACAGATGATACATGGCAGAAGGTGGAAGAAAGAAAAAGCCTAAAGAGCGAACTAAATCAAGCAAAAACACGGCAGCAGAAACAAGCAGCAGCCTCTCAATATAAAGAAAAGGCTAATGAGGTGAAAAGGAAACTAAGAAATGACAAGAGATTGTTTATAAATGAAATGGCAGAGCAGGCCGAAACAGCTGCCAGAGCTCTGAGTGGGAGGAAAACCAATACCAACAGGCCAGTGAGGAGCAAAAATGGTAAACTTCTAACGTCAATTGAAGAACAATTGGCACGATGGACAAAGCACTTCCAGGAAATACTAAACGGCCCAGTACCCCAAGAAGATATTTTAGATAAAGAAATTTTTAGTGGGAACAAGACACGGAAATTTTAGTATATTAAAATTACTACACGAAAACCTCAGATTAAATATCTCAGACAAAATCCAACAAGACCTGACATTGATGGCCAAAATGGAATCAACAATGACTGTTGTCCTGGTTGAAACAAAAAGTTTTTTTTGTTGAATCAACAAAATTGTTAGAACGATGGCCAGGAAATCAAGAGTTAGAATCTTAGTCCAAAGTGAGGGCCGAAACCTGAACACCTGACTTGAGTCGGGGAAAGTAGAGTGGCCGGACGTGCTAAATACACCACTCGTCATTGGTAGAGTAGATGGACATAGTGCTGACCACACCACTCCTCAGTGGTTGAGATCTAGTTAACAGTTACTTGAGTTAGGGAAAGTAGAGAAAATTCGAAATAAAAAAATGTAAAGTACGAAATAAATAAATAATGGGATGTTATTTAACACATGAAATAAAAGGTTAAATAAAATAAGGAATTAAATGTGAAATAAAATATGAAACAATATTTATTTACCTTGAGTGGTGATTGTCGTCGTGCCTAAAATACAAAAGTTAGATGTTAATAAGATAGTTGTGGTAGTGGTGCTGGTAGTGAGATGATAGCTGCATGGCGTTGTTGTAGTTCGTTGGTTGTGTTAATGGCGGTAGTGTGGTGGTAGTGTGCTCTTATGTTGTAGCGTAGTACCAGTTGTTGTAGTGTGCTTGTGGTCTGTTGGTTTTGGTATGTCTTTAGTTAAAGTTGTCACAAATTGTGGTATGGACTTTGGGAATTTGAAATGTGAGTTGGCTTGGGCCAAGGGGAATAAATGGGGTGTGGGGAAATTGCGAGACGCGAAAAGCGAAATGGCGAGGCGGGAAAATGCGAGAAGGGCGCGAAAACGGTCGGTCACGTGACTTTTTGTCTCGCATTTTACCACAAGACAATACTTACGCTGGGTGGTGTTGAAATGCGAAGATTTCTGCGAAAAATTTACCGCACCCGATTTTCAGTGGTATTTGGTCCAGACTTCAAAGACGTTTCGTTTACATTGTTAAAACTTCCGATTTTTCCGTCGCTAGACATACTGATGATTTGTCAACTCCCCCCATCTTTTGTGTCGACTTAGAATACCACCTTGTTCGAAACTGACGGAAATACCGCCAACGATAGATCAACTTCTGTCTTTTGTGTGGAACGCCGAGGTCGCCTGATTTACCGTCTTTGAAGATCGCCGTGCCCGGATCCGCTGCCGCCGCAAACAAATTTTCTATTGTTGCATAAAAATGTTGTATTATAGCCGCCGCCTACGATTTTTTTCTAGCTTTTTTTACCATATAAATCTAAGCACAAGGAAATGCCTACATCATTTGGATACAACAAAATAAAGTGACGTCACCGATATTATCAGTTGCTCGTGCTATATCATAAGCTATGGGCCTACTTCAAATATTTTTAAAACCAAGTTGAACTTATCTGAATTTTTTGGTTTTGGTGGTGGTGTTATTTGGGGTCTTCCATAAATGACGTCACACTCGTAGGGGGGGGGGGGTCTGTAATTTTATGACGATGTGTGATGAGGGGGAGGAGGGGGGGGGGGTTAGATGTGAAGTCACACTATAAAAAAGCAATGTTAGAAAAAGAATTTTAGACGTTTTTCGCGTTTCAGAAAACTGTTTTAATACATTGTAATAGGAATTGATTAAAATACTCTATTTTGACCGAAATTAGACAAGATTTTGGGAAAATATCGATGTTTTAAAAAAACTCAACTGCTAATGACAACAATGAGCAAGACTGCCAAAATTACAGAAATGATAAAAAATACAAATTATAAAAAACGGAAAACAGATGTTGAGCGTGCGGATGATGATGATGAGAACATGGGTGCCAGTGTTGTTTGTGGGATGAACGGGGAGGTCAACTGTGATGAGAATGTGAAATGTGGATTGGAAGAAGTAGCAAAAGAAAAATGTATAAATGGGAGTCTAATGAACTGGGTTGGGTGTACTATGTGTGAAAGATGGTGTCACGAGGTGTGTTTGAGGACTGTTTCAGAAGATTTTGTTTTTAAATTTTGTTTGTAATTAAAATTACTTAATAAAAAAATAAATTGCACTTTTTAGAATTGTTTATACTTTTACACTTTTTGCAAGTACAAAAATCCATAAATAGATGTTGCAAAATATCTCTCCTGCAGACAAGATTATACCAATTCACAATGACACAGCTCACGTTTGTATAAACATGAGCGGGCTTGATTTTTAAATTAATGGCGACTGAGACGGGATTTTCCTCTCGCTAACAAGAGCGGACGATGACCGTAGCACAGCCACGATGTTAGGATTTTTAAATAGATCGATCTAGATATAGATCTAGATCTATCTATCTTCTTAGTATCTAGATAAAAAATAACAATATACAACACTCGTGTTAAAGGGTATGGTTAAATGCTTGTTTATTTTAAAAATATTTAAAAAAATAATTGAAATAAATAAAGATGGAAAAAAAAAGGAAAAACTTTTTTCGCAAAAAGTGTCTCGCTATTTACCCTTAATTCCGCAGGTATGTCTCGCATTACCTTCTCGCATTTTCCCGCCTCGCCATTTCGCTTTTCGCGTCTCGCAATTTCCCCACACCCGAATAAATGAAACAAAAAACCGGATGTAGAATGTTTGATAGGTCACAGATTAGCTTGCTAGCTACACTTACAATTATTATTTAGGCTAATTACTAATAATAAATAACTGATCACTAATTACTCATTACTAGTTACTAACTACTTATAACTATTATTCATACTTACGTGCAGTAGTTGTTTTTACAGTTGCTAGGAATACAAAAATAATTATTTATGTCAACTTTACGCGCGGGTAGGGGCGGGGGAATGGGTGGTGGTGGGGGTGGGATGCATATAAACAAATGAACTGTCTAGCTATATCATGTTTTTGTTAAGCCTCACTAGCATTTATTTTATCTTCAGATTTTTTAAAACTTCCCAACCCCTATCAACCCAATCGGTGTCATCGATATGACTAACATCAACATGTGACTAACATCAACTAGTGACTAACATCAACTAGTGACTAAAATCATCTAGTGACTAACATCAACTAGTGCCTAACATCAACTAGTGACTAACATCAACTAGTGCCTAACATCAACTAGTGACTAACATCAACTAGTGACTAACATCTGCATGTGACTAACATCAACTAGTGACTAACATCAACTAGTGCCTAACATCAACTAGTGACTAACATCAACTAGTGACTAACATCAACTAGTGACTAAAATCATCTAGTGACTAACATCAACTAGTGCCTAACATCAACATGTGACTAACATCTGCATGTGACTAACATCAACTAGTGACTAACATCAACTAGTGACTAACATCAACAAGTGACTAAAATCATCTAGTGACTAACATCAACATGTGACTAACATCAACTAGTGACTAACATCAACTAGTGACTAAAATCATCTAGTGACTAACATCAACTAGTGACTAACATCAACTAGTGACTAACATCAACATGTGACTAACATCAACTAATGCCTAACATCAACTAGTGACTAACATCAACTAGTGACTAACATCAACAAGTGACTAAAATCATCTAGTGACTAACATCAACTAGTGACTAACATCAACTAGTGACTAACATCAACTAGTGACTAACATCAACTAGTGACTAACATCAACTAGTGACTAACATCAACATGTGACTAACATCAACTAGTGACTAACATCAACTAGTGACTAACATCAACTAGTGACTAAAATCATCTAGTGACTAACATCAACTAGTGACTAACATCAACATGTTACTAACATCAACATGTAGCTAACATCAACATGTAACTAACATCCACTAGTGACTAACATCAACTAGTGCCTAACATCAACAAGTGACTAACATCAACATGTGACTAAAATCAACATGTGACTAACATCAACTAGTGACTAACATCAACTAGTGACTAAAATCATCTAGTGACTAACATCAACATGTGACTAACATCAACATGTGACTAACATCAACATGTGACTAACATCAACATGTGACTAACATCAACTAGTGACTAACATCAACTAGTAACTAAAAGCATCTTGTGAGTTACTCACGTTTCTTCATACACAGGTACGGAAGTTCCGTTTTGCAGTCTGCAGACTGAAGTGTGTTCACGTTTAGCTGCAGCTTGACACACCCACTACTCGATAATTGGTCAGTGACTTGCATTGCCAATCGCTGCCCATCAAACACCCAATAGAAGTCGCCAACAGCGTCTTCTTTTGCCCCGACCCAAACTGTACGCAGGGAGAACAAGAGGGAACCAAATGTGATGTACAGCCGTCCTAGACAAACTGTACACAAGGGAACAAGAGGGAACCAAATGTGATCTACGGCCGTCCTAGACAATCTGTACACAGGGGAACATGAGGGAACCAAATGTGATCTACGGCCGTCCTAGACAAACTGTACACAAGGGAACATGAGGGGAACCAAATGTGATCTACGGCCGTCCTAGACAAACTGTACGCAGGGAGAATAACAGGGAACCAAATGTGATCTACGGCTGTCCTAGACAAACTGTACGCAGGGAGAATAACAGGGAACCAAATGTGATCTACGGCTGTCCTAGACAAACTGTACACAGGGGAACATGAGGGGAACCAAATGTGATCTACGGCCGTCCTAGACAAACTGTACGCAGGGAGAATAACAGGGAACCAAATGTGATCTACGGCTGTCCTAGACAATCTGCTACGGCAGAAGAAATAGTTATATAGGCCCTATACAGGCCTAGATTTAATGTTAAAAATACACACTTGGCATGAAGATGTGTGGGCGAGCGGACATGGGGAGTGGCTGTCAAGCCAGAAGGTGGGGGTTCAAATCCATCAGATGGCTTATTTGCTATGACTCTTAATGTATGCCTCCAAATCTTATTATCAAAGTATTTTTTCAAGTTACTTATGGAATGGTTATTTTTGTTAATTTTTTTTTGTTTTGTGACGTAATTGTTGACATGTCAGTAAAAAAAAAAGATCTGTCCTGTAGATTTTTGCTTAGAGAAAAAACACAAAAGTGTGATGGAAACTGTGAATTATAGCTGATGAAATGGACATCCAATTTCACCTGATATTTATTCTATATGAATTTTAATGGTAATCGATAGTTGAATAGCAATGAAAACAACCAACTAAACTGATGCTTAATTAGTATGATGTATTTAAAAATTTCTAGATCTATTAGTCTAGTGTATAGATTTAGAGTGCATAAATGATCATCTATGACCTATGTAGCCTGTAGCAGATATATCTGATATGAGCCTTAAAAAAGCTTAACTAAACTTTTAAGTCAGCAGTAACAACTTTTTAGTAAAAATATAACACAATAAAAATAGTAGCACTGCTCTCTTAATCTATACCTCACTCCCCAGTCACAAGAAATGCTTTTATTATTTTACATGAAATGACAGCTGACTGTAAATAGCCGTATTGGGGCTATTCACAGTCGGCTGGGAATAGCCTTGGCCTATATATATATATAGTTATTTCAACCATCCACCCACCCAGTCAGTACTCACCTTCTTGAAGATTTATTAACGATTTAAGGTCGAACAGGTAATCGTTATTTGTAAATTTGGCAAAATGTTGTCCATGGGTTTCACACTCCGCCTACGGGATGATTTAATTAGGGGCTTACAATCAGGATTGTCTGGCCAAAGATTATGGATTATAGTCACTAGCCTTACGACCCCTCCTCGACCCCTCCTCGCGCCGACCCTAGACAGACACGTGATCTACTCACCTTGGCATCTCGCCACCACCGTAGGGTGGGGTAGAGACGGTAGCAGATCTCGCCTAGTTCAAACTCTTCATTGGACCCGCATTCTGAGGAGATAACAGGCGGGGTAGTTTACATACCCAACCCGTAGCTTACATACACCAGTCTTAGATTACATACCCAACCCGTAGCTTACATACCCCAGCCTTAGCTTACATACCTAAACCTTAGCTTACATACCTAAACCTTAGCTTACATTCTCAAACATATTATTATCTAACAGTAAGGGAGATGGAATTTTAGTGCTATCGGACTCTAAAAAAATTTAAAAATTAATTTCTTAATGCTAAAATTTACTTACTTAACTTTCGCATAAAATCTTACTTTTACTTCAAATTTCGTCTCCCAAATAAAAGTGTACTCAACTTAAAGCGAAACTACGAGTGGAGGAACTACCACTTCCGGTTACTGAAAAATCTGTAACGGTACTTAAGGTGTTTACATAAAAAAACACACACGCACGCACGCACACTCACATAGACGAACAGGAATGCAACTGACCTGTAAAACACGCGTAAACTCTCTTGTAAAACACGTGTAAACTAACTCACCGTTATACATACACAGGAAATAACCATGCAAGTTACAGTCGTACACTTCAAGTTTGTGGTTGTTGTTGATGCCGGCACATCTGTCATCCGCCCTACGGTCGGGGCGGGGCTGACCGTGGTCCCACAGGTCTCTGTCGTCGATGGGGGACCGGCTGTGGTCCCACACGAAGGCCCCGCGGGTATCTCGGTCGTTGGCGCCTACCCAAACTAGAACAGGTGAGACAACAGGTGTGACGTAAGCTGTGTGGTTGTTTGTGTGTAGGTGTGTGTGGTTGTGGATTAGGGTTAGCAATTGGATGCGTGTGGTTATGGATTATATTTAGTATGTGCGTTTAAACTTGTTATGTTTAAAATTGTGGTGTTTAAAGTTCTATTAGTGTGGTTTGCTGTGTGTGTGGTGTTCTATGTATGTGTGGGTTTTTTTGGTTTAGACCGATGTTGTGTTTGTGGTGCTGAGTGTTGTGTGATTCGTGTTTATGTGGTGTTCCTCGTGTGTGCGGTGTTGTGTGTGGTTAGCGTGTTTTAACATACTGTGGAGTACACCACCACGACTGCGCATGTCCGCATCCGTCACTTCTGCTAGCACCATTCCTTTCTTTATGCACTCAATCTGTGGAGGTCAATGAACCTTAGCACAATCTGAGGAGGTCAATGAACCTTAGCACAATCTGAGGAGGTCAATGAACCTTAGCACAATCTGTGGAGGTCAATGAACCTTAGCACAATCTGAGGAGGTCAATGAACCTTAGCACAATCTGTGGAGGTCAATGAACCTTAGCACAATCTGAGGAGGTCAATGAACCTTAGCACAATCTGTGGAGGTCAATGAACCTTAGCACAATCTGTGGAGGTCAATGAACCTTAGCACAATCTGAGGAGGTCAATGAACCTTAGCACAATCTGAGGAGGTCAATGAACCTTAGCACAATCTGTGGAGGTCAATGAACCCTAGCACAATCTGTGGAGGTCTATGAACCTTAGCACAATCTGAGGAGGTCAATGAACCTTATCACAATCTGAGGAGGTCAATGAACCTTAGCACAATCTGAGGAGGTCAATGAACCTTAGCACAATCTGAGGAGGTCAATGAACCTTAGCACAATCTGAGGAGGTCAATGAACCTTAGCACAATCTGAGGAGGTCAATGAACCTTAGCACAATCTGAGGAGGTCAATGAACCTTAGCACAATCTGAGGAGGTCAATGAACCTTAGCACAATCTGTGGAGGTCAATGAACCTTAGCACAATCTGAGGAGGTCAATGAACCTTAGCACAATCTGAGGAGGTCAATGAACCTTAGCACAATCTGAGGAGGTCAATGAACCTTAGCACAATCTGAGGAGGTCAATGAACCTTAGCACAATCTGAGGAGGTCAATGAACCTTAGCACAATCTGAGGAGGTCAATGAACCTTAGCACAATCTGAGGAGGTCAATGAACCTTAGCACAACTCCTTATTACACAACTGAGTGAAGACAGATGGTAGCTAACAGCTCCATCATACATTAGAGTTTAGGAAAATTATTTCAATCACTTACCGCCAGCGGTGGATTAAGGGGCGGGGCGTAGTTGACAGTGGTGGATAAAGGGGCGGGGGAACGGTGGCGTAGTTGACAGTGGTGGATTACGGGGCGGGGCGTAGTTGACAGTGGTGGATTACGGGGCGGGGCGTAGCTGACTGTGGTGGATAAAGGGGCGGGGGAACGGTGGCGTAGCTGACAGTGGTGGATTACGGGGCGGGGCGTAGCTGACAGTGGTGGATTAAGGGGCGGGGGGGGGGGGGCGGAGCTGACAGTGGTGGATTAAGGGGCGGGGGCGTATATATATATATATATATATATATATATATATATATATATATATATATATATATATATATATATATATATTTATATATATATATATATATATATATATATATATAAATAAAAAAATAAAATATATATATATATATATATATATATATATATATATATATATATATATATATATATATATATATATATATATATATATATATGAATATATAAAGGGGCCAACAAAATCCCAGTTTGCCCCCCGCCCCCTCCCCACCGGTCATAATACATACTCTGGCATCATTCCAGGACATTCGCTCATCAAACTGCTTATAAGTTCTAACACGTGCAACACCTGGAGACAGTAGAGTACACGTTAGTTGAGCGGCTACCTGTATATTGTTAGGTCACGTGACCAAGGAAAATACACAATGTACTCACTGAAAACGGAGGACAAAGATGACATTTAATTTATCATTTGATCAGACATATGCCACTCGGGTATCTATCGCGGGAGGGGGGGGGTATTCATTATTAACAATCTATCACATCTTTACACTTGTATCAGTGGTACAGTCAGGGATTTTTCATGGGGCGTCAAACTTTGTCCATCCTTATATATATATATATATATATATATATATATATATATATATATATATATATATATATATATATATATACATACATATTACGGTCAAAGCCCAAAGTGCGGCCAAAGCCCGCATTTGCCGTCCAATGCGCGCTTTGGCCGACTTTGGGCTTTGACCGTAACATATATATATAATGGCGCAATTTGATTCTTCGCTCTATACCGTATATACAAATAAAAGTCGATTGCGCTTCGACACCGTTCATACAACCCTAGACTTTAGGGAGTTGATTAGAACACTCCAGGGGAAGTTTCTGCACAAACTAATTTTTAATTGCGTAAGGGCGGCGACCCAGGAGGGTTCGATTTTTCTCTATATACGGTTAATAAAAAAAAAGTCGAATGCAGTTCGACACAATTTATCCGAGTGCCATGAAACTTGATGAGAATACTCTCGAGAAGTTTTCTGCTCTAAAAAAATTAAAATTTCTTATGGGCGGCGACCGAGAGGGTGCGATTTTTGTCAAAACACGGTTTGGTGAATGAGTTCCACAGCAGCCATCTTAGAAATTGGCATCCAGTAATCGGGCGTCCTACGTTCGTTTTAAAATAGGTTATACACTAAAGACACGATGTACAACAAACTTCATTCGCCTCTGTCGGGTCACTTAGGTCTATTATCTTATCCAGCATATACCTAGGTGTGGCTTTAATGTCCCTCTACACAATTCAATGCTAAAATAACTGATAACAGTCTAACTTGTAGGATTATGAGATTAACTAAGATTAAAGCTTACCGATTAGGTACATAAACATCACATGGGATCGCAGTGTCCATCGTGGTCGGGCGGACATTGATGACTGATGTGTCTACCTGATAATATATATATGATAATGTGTCTGCGTAATGATGTATAAATAATGATGTGTATGCCTGATGATATATAAATGATTATGTGTCTGCCTGATGATATATAAATGATGATGTGACTGCCTGATGATATCTCAATTTGATGATGTCTAAGATGTCTGTAAGTGATGTATCTTACAGTCTCAGAATTTTGTCTGTTGGTGTACCTATGATGTTAAGATGTTTTATGTACGTATGATGTGAAGATGTTTGATGTACAAACAAAAAACCTCGGTGGTGTCATGTGTAAGCATCGATGTTTATTAATGTGTTTAGTCACTGTGTTTATTCAATGTTCGCCTGCTTTTAGTCAATGTGTTTGTGTTCATTCAGTGTTTAGCACTGTGTTGCGTTTATCCGGATCACACAAAATATAGCTGTCGCTCAGGACGACGAATCTGCAATCACAAAACCAAACCAGATTTTTTAAACTGAAAGAAAACAATGAATTAAGAAACGTTGTTAAACAGTATAAATATTTAGATAATAGCCACAAATTAACCTCACCATAAGCCTCGATGCATTAGATCGATACCGAAACCTATGCCTATTTATTAGTTATCGATACCTTATCAAAACCCTGGCTGTATCGCCTGGCCAACTAAATTGATCTCATAACCTAACCATTGCTTTTAGTGTCGACACCATTACCTATCCCTGATTTATAGTATCGATACCCTAACCTAGCCCTGGCTTATAGTATCGATACCCTAACCTAGCCTGCCTTATAGTATCGATACCCTAACCTAGCCCTGGCTTACAGTATCGATACCCTACCCTGCTGGGTATCACCCTCAGATTCTTGTATTTGCCACCAAACATTTCACTCAAATTCTGACTTCACATGTCAACAAACGAATGATGAAAAATGAATACCTGACACGGCAAAAGTCAGATGGCAGTAGTGGATCCGTGACACAAAATGTCAGCTGACATTAGCTAACTGACAAATGTCACCAGCATCAAATTAGCTGACATGTTTGTTTACTCATGAGCTAGCAGAAGAGAACGTCGAATATTGCTGCACTCGCGTTCAATGAACGTGCGTTCTGATTCGCACCGTGAAACTGTAGCAGGTCACCCCATGCACACTTTGGTGCAGTCATATTTGTAAATTAATTGATTGAATGTGGCAACAGGCTGTCAGTGCGCACCAAACAGCGCCATTAGATTATACATGAGTAAATTAAACAGTGAATTTATGGACAGACAGAAAACAACACCAGTTACATACAAATAAAGTTAAATTAATAAAGTTAAATAACACATACAAATAAAGTTAAATTAATAAATTTAAACAACTCATACAAATAAAGTTGAATTAATAAAGTTAAATTAATAAAGTTGAGTACTTAATAAAGGTGAGTTAGGTCAGTGATGGTCAGGTGAGTTAGGTCAGTGATGGTCAGGTGAGTTAGGTCAGTGATGGTCAGGTGAGTTAGGTCAGTGATGGTCAGGTGAGTTAGGTCAGGGATGGTCAGGTGAGTTAGGTCAGTGATGGTCAGGTGAGTTAGGTCAGTGATGGTCAGGTGAGTTAGGTCAGTGATGGTTAGGTCAGTGATGGTCAGGTGAGTTAGGTCAGTGATGGTCAGGTGAGTTAGGTCAGTGATGGTCAGGTGAGTTAGGTCAGTGATGGTCAGGTGAGTTAGGTCAGGGATGGTCAGGTGAGTTAGGTCAGTGATGGTCAGGTGAGTTAGGTCAGTGATGGTTAGGTCAGTGATGGTCAGGTGAGTTAGGTCAGGTAAGTTAGGTCAGTGATGGTTAGGTCAGTGATGGTCAGACGAGTTAGGTCAGGTGAGCCCTATTACTAACCCTTAGCTGTAGACAACACGTTCTAGCAGCCAGCAAAAGGTCTTTAAATGAAAAGATCAATTTCTAACGTGAAGACACCAACGATGGAGACTGGAGGGGGAGGGGCTGGAAAGGCAGCCGCCAGGGACCCAAGACGATCAACTATTCTTAAATTTTATCATGCAAATGATTTTTAATTATTTTTTACTTACTTTTGAGTACTTAACTGATCGTTTGCAGGTTCCAACTTTACGCTATTCTCCATTTAAAAAACATCTTAAAATCACGCGCACTTAATTGTGTGAACTTGAGCTGTCAGGGCTTTCTGATGAGGCCTTGAATGTGGTCAGATATTGACGATTCTAAAAAGTTATTAAAGTAATCACCAAGGATCAATAACTTAAAATTAATTAAATCACAATCAATGAAATACCAATTAACAAATCTGAAATCAATAAATAATCATGCAATAAATAACCAATAAATACATCACCAATCAATAAATCACCAAACTTATTTTTAAAAAAATGTTTATTACATGTAAAAACAAGGCGCGGTACTAAAACAACTACAGCAAGTAGTATACGAATCCTCCCCCCCCCTCTCTCCAACAAGCGGGTCAAGAACAATGTCTGCCCACTGTCCGTCCAAAAGTGTGCTGCAACATCGCTAGACTATGTACTCATAGGTTGACTTGACCAGCTGACCTCCACATCCCCAGAGTCTGGTAAACCTGTGGCAATCTGTGTCAATTCTACGTCACTCTACGTCACAACGTTTCGGATGTGGTGACGTCCCGAGGTCTGCCACACCCCTCAGACGACGTGACGCCCCCCTCAGACGACGTGACACCCCGCTCAGACGACGTGACGCCCCCCCTCAGACGACGTGACACCCCCCTCAGACGACGTGACGCCCCTACACCTCCGTGTCCCTGGACAGACGGCTGGTACCAGATTCCCAGGAGGTTCCAGTAAATCTTGTGGTGGCCGTGGACACGACGGACTGCTGAAAGACGTCGACTGGAAGAGGTGGAGTGGGTGGGGGGGGGGGGTGGAGGTGGTGGAGTGGGTGGGGGGAGGTGAAGGTATTAACACAGTGTATAAATTATATGACAGCTAAAGAGGACAACAGCTCTAGAGAGGTCAACAGCTAGAGGTCAACAGCTAGAGAGAGAGATCAATAGCTAGAGTTGTAACCAGCTAGAGAGAGCTCAAAAGGCTAGAGAGGTCAACAGCTAGAGAGGTCAACAGCTAGAGAGGTCAACAGCTAGAGAGAGGTCAACAGCTAGAGAGGTCAACAGCTAGAAAGAGGTCAACAGCTAGAGAGGTCAACAGCCAGAGAGGTCAACAGCTAGAGAGAGAGAGAGAGGTCAACAGCTAGAGAGAGATGTCAACAGCTAGAGGTCAACAGCTAGAGAGGTCAACAGCTAGAGAGAGGTCAAAAGCTAGAGAGAGGTCAACAGCTCTAGAGAGGTCAACAGCTAGAGAGGTCAACAGCAAGAGATGTCAACAGCTAGAGAGGTCAACAGCTAGAGAGGTCAACAGCAAGAGAGAGGTTAACAGCTAGAGAGGTCACCAGCTAGAGAGAGGTTAACAGATAGAGAGGTCAACAGCTAGAGAGAGGTTAACAGATAGAGAGGTCAACAGCTAGAGAGGTCAACAGCTACCTTTACTGCTTTCCTCCAAAGACGTCTGAGTGATTAAACTATTTGTGCTCTCCACGGGGCCAATCTGTGATACAAACATTGGGATCTGGTGTTCGAAGTTGGCTGAAAAAATACGAACATTGGGATCTGGTGTTTGGAGTTGGCTGAAAAAATACGAACATTGGGGCCACATGTATTCTGTAATTTTTAGATTAATTTTAATTTTTCTAGAAACCTCTGGCTCAAATAAGAAGATGCCAGCCTGAAAATCAACATTAGAACAACCCGTGACCAACCAGCCACCAACCATCCACCAACCTGAGGACAATCAGCCACCAACCTGAGACCAACCAGCCACCAACCTGAGACCAACCTGAGACCAACCATCCACCAACCTGAGACCAACCATCCACCAACCTGAGACCAACCATCCACCAACCTGAGACCAACCATCCACCAACCTGAGACCAACCATCCACCAACCTGAGACCACCCAGCCACCAACCTGAGACCACCCAGCCACCAACCTGAGACCACCCAGCCACCAACCTGAGACCACCCAGCCACCAACCTGAGACCACCCAGCCACCAACCTGAGACCACCCAGCCACCAACCTGAGACCACCCAGCCACCAACCTGAGACCAACCTGAGACCAACCATCCACCAACCTGAGACCAACCATCCACCAACCTGAGACCAATCATCCACCAACCTGAGACCACCCAGCCACCAACCTGAGACCACCCAACCACCAACATGAGACCACCCAGCCACCAACCTGAGACCAACCTGAGACCAACCATCCACCAACCTGAGACCAACCATCCACCAACCTGAGACCAATCATCCACCAACCTGAGACCACCCAGCCACCAACCTGAGACCACCCAGCCACCAACCTGAGACCACCCAACCACCAACATGAGACCACCCAGCCACCAACCTGAGAATACCCAGCCACCAACCTGAGACCACCCAACCACCAACACGAGACCACCCAACCACCAACATGAGACCAACTGTGGTGGGGGGAATTGGCTTCTCTTCTTCTTATTCTAATAATTTCCTTCTTACATACGAACATATATTTACTACTGTGACGAGGACGAGAATACTCTCAGTTCCGTGCTTTCAATAAGACAACTCGAAGATCAGTTTGATTCACAACATTTAATTATTACACATCCGATGCTTGAATATAATAGACTTAACACAATAAATACTTCTTGTCTACACCTACTGCTCAATGTTTCCTACACTATTGTCACTACACTGTTCCCTAACTCTACACTTGTATACGTCCTCTCACTACAAATTCTCAACCCCGACTGCCTAGATTCAACTGTCTCCTAACCCTCATCGTCCTCACTTCTTTGTCTTGTCCATTCGGTCCAACATAATTTGCATGTCGCCACAGTTCTGGAGTACCTGATTAAAATGTCAGACCCTGCTAATAAACTACCCCCTTAACGGTCACCCAGGGCAACTAGATACGTGTCTGCTACACCTACCCCCCACAATGATGTCGCCCGTAATTACAATCTAATTCTAACCCGTTGCTTCGTCGATCGTCTCCGTCACGTACACGGTCTATCCTACACCTGCATCTACGCCACCACACCAACCATCCAGCAACCTGAGACCAACCAACCGCCAACCTGAGACCAACCAACCACCAACTTGAGACCAACCAACAACCAACCTGAGACCAACCAACCACCAACCTGAGACCAACCATCAACCAACATGACACCAACCATCCACCAACCTGAGACGATACTCAGCCTGTGAACCTTTTCTATCTTCTGCGCCTTCCGTCTACAGCAGCAGAAGACGATGAAACAGAGCAGGAAGCAGACGACCGCCCCCAGGTACAACAACAACACCACCAGGTCGAACCCGAAGAAAATCCAAGACTCTTTCGGTTCGTGTGTGGGCGGTGACGTCACATTCCGTGAGTCATCGAATTCTTCGGGGTCAAAACTTGCGTTGGAATTTCCTGTGGAGTGTAGACATCACGTGACAGTGTACATGTCACGTTACGTCTGTTACCTCACACACCCTTTTATCATCCGTGCAATATCTGCACCTCCCCTCACCCGCGCCCCTATAACCCTATTACCTAGACGATCCCATAATCCATCAGAAGCACCCCCTGACACGCCCCAGTTTCCCAGCACCCCCTGACACGCCCCAGTTTCCCAGCACCCCCTAGTTTCTCAGCACCCCCTAGATACGCCGTTGTGTCTCAGCTGCCCTAGACACCCCCAGCACCCCCTAGACACGCCGTTGTGTCCCATCTCCCCTAGACACTCCTCAGTTTCCCAGCACCCCCTAGACACCCCCCAGTTTCCCAGCACCCCTTAGACACGCCCTTGATTTACCTCCTACACAATGTTTGCCCGTCCTCCCCTCCACACAGTGGTAACACTGTCCGTTGTAGTGACAGAGCTGGTCCACACAGTTTCCCAGCACCCCCTAGACACGACCCCAGTTTCCCAGCACCCCCTAGTTTCCCCCTTTACCTCCTACACAATGTTTGCCCGTCCTCCCCTCCACACAGTGGTAACACTGTCCGTTGTAGTGACAGAGCTGGTCCACACAGTTTCCCAGCACCCCCTAGACACGACCCCAGTTTCCCAGCACCCCCTAGTTTCCCCCTTTACCTCCTACACAATGTTTGCCCGTCCTCCCCTCCACACAGTGGTAACACTGCCCGTTGTAGTGACAGAGCTGGTCCACACAGCCCATGCTGCAGATCTCATCACAGTACAGCCCGTACACGGGGGACGAGCAGTCTGGGGAGGGTGCGCATGCGCTAGTCTAAATATAGCACTGTAGTGGGCAGAACTATATTAGTTACATTGGTGCAAACGTCGTATTGTTCTACCAATATCACATTGACCTATAAATGTCACGGTGACCTACCAATGTCTTGTTGACCTATCAATGTCTTGTTGACCTACCAATGTCACGCTGACCTACCAATATAATGTCACGTTGACCTACAAATGTTACTTTGACCTACCAATGTCACGGTGACCTACCAATGTCAAGGTGACCTACCAATATAATGTTGACCTACTGGTTTCACGTTGACCTACCAATATCATGTTTACTTACCAATGTCACGTTGACCTACCCCCAAAAACCTCCAACTCGCAAACCTCCATCGGGTGCCCAGGTTGGCTCACCAGGTTGACATCTACACGCATGGCTGGTCTCCTCACGATGGATTTGAACCTCAGACGTCCGGTGACGTCCGCTCTCACGCCCGTCAAGTTCTGCAGACTGACCTCCCCCTCCCCCACAACCTCCAGCCGGAAGCCGTTCAATGTGCCGTACGAAGTGTTAGCTGTTAGAGGAGACAGGTGGGCAAGTTCAAGGATAACCAGGTGAGACAGGTGGGCAAGTTCAAGGTTAACCAGCTGAGACAGGTGGACAAGTTCAAGGTTAACCAGCTGAGACAGGTGGACAAGTTCAAGGTTAAACAGCTGAGACAGGTGGACAAGTTCAAGGTTAACCAGTTGAGACAGGTGGACAAGTTCAAGGTTAACCATTTGAGACAGGTGGACAAGTTCAAGGTTAACCAGCTGAGACAGGTGGGCAAGTTCAAGGTTAACCAGGTGGGTAAGTTCAAGGTTAACCAACTAAGACAGGTGGGCAAGTTCAAGGTTAACCAGCTGAGACAGGTGGGCAGGTTCAAGGTTAACCAGTTGTGACAGATGGACAAGATCAAGGTTAACTAGCTTGACCAGCTGTTCAAGTGTGTTACTCGCCTGTCGAGTTTTGTCACTCACCTCTTTGGCGTGTCACTCATCTGATGATGGGAGTCACTCAATTGTCTAGGTGTATCACTCACCTGTCGATTTGTGTCACTCACCTGTCTAGGTGTATCACTCACCTGTAGAATTATGTGTCACTCACCTGTCGATGCGTGTCACTCACCTGTCTAGGTGTATCACTCACCTGTAGAATTATGTGTCACTCACCTGTCGATGCGTGTCACTCACCTGTCGAATTATGTGTCACTCATCTGTCTAGTGTCTCGCCTGTCTATGTCACTCACCTGTCGATGTGTGTATGACGATCTCCGTGATGAGCTTAGGTGTGCTAAAGGCCAGCTGCAGCTGCTGGTGAGTCACGGAGTCATTCAGCACCAGACACGGCTGTGTCAACTGGCCGTCCACCGCAGCATCTGACGGCTGTGGCAACTGGCCGTCCACCGCAGCACCTGACGGCGTCGTGTTGGCCGCTGGACTGTGAGACACCCTGCTCTTTAGCGCCAGATTTCTTCCTGAAACATTTTGGGTACTTGATGATCCGTAGGGTAGGGGAAGTAGAGTTGACTTACGACTCGTGTAAGGTACGTTTTAGAGCTGGGTGGACTCAGTGACGTATGTTTATGTGAGGTACCTAATAGAGCCGATATGGAGACATTCAGGACAAAATGTCGCCCCGGTCTTTCCCGTGAGCGCTATGGCGCCTATGTTCGTTTTAAACAGTGAGATAGACTATGGATAAGATGGGGCGTTACAGTCATTCACTAAACTAGATCAGGCGCGTTTTACCGGCAGGGTACGATTTGTCCTGGGTTATCCTGGGACTTTTGTAGTCCCGCGGGGACGGGCACGCTAGTACTTATATACATCCAAACATCCACCTACCCATCCATCCACCCATTCATCCTTCCATCCATCTAGACCGTCTCACCTCCACTGATGTAGAGAGAACAAATCACGTGATGAACTCGCCAGCTGACGGTGACCTTGGTTACGTAGACTGTGCCAAGGTTACATGCCAGGTCCAGGGTTGTGGGTGTGGGTTGTAGGACACTCATGTTGGTGCAGGCCCGGGGGGTGAGGCCAGAGAACGCCTGCACAGTGTAGTGATCTATCTTGTCTGGGGGTCAAGGCCGAACAAAGGTTTTATAGCGTGTTAGAAAGGTCAAGGCTGGTCTTGTGGTAACAGAGGTCAAGGTTATACCGTTGTTCCCTCACCCTTGACGACTATCCGTATCCACGTGATAAACTGTTCCTCACGAAACTTGACGGTCACTGACCTCTCCCTGTCCTGCTGATGGCACGTGCTGTCGTCGTTGTCGGTGAGCGAGGGCAAGCTGGAGTCTAGGACGTAGGCGGCGCCAGCCAAGTTTCCTGCAAGTAAGGTAATCACACTTCTTTAAGTAGGTCAATCATACTGCTGTAAGTAGGTCAATCACACTGCTGTAAGTAGGTCAGTTACATCGCTGTACGTAGGTCAATAACATCACTGTAAGTAGGCTAGTTACATCACTAGAAGAGGGTCAATTACACCGATTTACGTAGGCCAATCACATCTCTGGAAATAGGTCAGTTGTATATATGTAAGTAGGTCAATTACACCGATGTACGTAGGTAAGCTACAGCTATGTAGGTTAAAAGTTATGGATGTAAATAGGCCAATTTAGAAAATTACATCAATGTGAGCAAATCAATTACATCAATATACGTAGGGAAGTTACGGAGATGTTACGTCACGTTAAGTAGATTAGTTACGTGGATGAACGTAAGTTATATTGTTATAAGTAGGTCAATTACGTCAATGTAAGTATGTCAATAACATCGATATATGTAGGTCATATACATTGCTACAGGTCACATTTCAATTACATCACCATAAGTAGGTCAGATTGCGATGGGATGCGCCTCTCGTTTAAGTGTAATAAAAACAACAAATAAGCGTCTATGGGCTTGATGAATTTGATTTACTGACCCAGTCACTTCTTCTAGACCCAATGATCCAGGTCGTGTTGCCGTGACCTTTTTACCCATTGACCTACTGACCTACTGAACCGTTCATCAAACTTACTATACTGGCACCTCAACCCGAACCAGTTCTGCTCACACGGGGCGGTGTCCCCCTGGCACGCCCCCGCCCCACAGTGGGGCGCCTCACAGTGACACAAGAACAGGTCGCCTTGGCCGAACCAGACCTTGGGCGCTGAAAGAAATTTTGTGGTTGGTCCTTGCATTCAAAGATAGGGGTAAGATCGGGACAAGACACATATATTTTAATGGGGACAAGACACATATTTTAGTAGGGACAAGACACAGATATTTTAATGGGGACAAGACACAGATATTTTAGTGAGAAAAAGACAGATATTTTAGTGGGGACAAGACCGATACACCCCCCCCCCCCCTTCCCACCGAAATTGTCATAAAGCCACCTGGATATCACCAGATCATCATTCAGAAAACCAGATTGATCATGTCGCGGTTGGAGGGCCTCACTGCAGGATGTGAGAACAAAGCGAGGAGCCGACATAGGATCTGATCACCACCTGGTTGTTGCTAAACTGAAGATGAAGCTAAAGGCGAAGAAGAGGCAACATGAAATTGATCCACGAAGAAGATTTGATGTAGGTTAACTTAAGACACAAGATAACAAGACAGATTTTCAGGTCACCCTGAAGAATCAAATTTCTACAGACAGAAGAAAAAGATTTTGATTAAGTTGAACACACCTGGGAAATATTTAAGCAAGCCACTATTGAAGCCTGCGAAGAGGCTCTAGGAAGAAAAGTGCCCAACATGAAGCCCTGGGTCACAGATGATACATGGCAGAAGGTGGAAGAAAGAAAAAGCCTAAACTGCGAACTAAATCAAGCAAAAGCACGGCAGCAGAAACAAGCAGCAACCTCTCGATATAACGAAAAGGCTAAAGAGGTGAAAAGGAAACTAAGAAATGACAAGAGATTGTTTATAAATGAAAACAGCTGCCAGTAAGGGAGATCTCAAGACGCTCTATGCAACAACCAGAGCTCTGAGTGGGAGGAAAACCAATCCCAACAGGCCAGTGAGGAGCAAAAATGGTAAACTTCTAACGTCAATTGAGAAACAATTGGCACGATGAAGAAAAAATTTCCAGGAAATACTAAACGGCCCAGTACCTCAAGAAGATATTTAAGTGGGAACAAGACAGGGATATTTTAGTGGGAACAAGACAAAGAAATTTTAGTATATTAAAACTACTACACAAAAAACCTAACTCATACTAAATTATCTCAGACAAGATCCAACAAGATCCGAAATTGATGGCAAAAATAGAAGCAATGATGTTTGTTGTTGTTGAATCAACAAAATTGTTAGAACGGTGACCAGGAAGTCAAGAGTTCGAATCTTAGTCCAAAGTGAGGGCCGAAATCTGAACACCTGATTTGAGTCGGGGAAAGTAGAGTGGCCGGACGTGCTGACCACACCACTCCTCATAGGTAGAGTAGATGGACATAGTGCTGACCACACCACTCCTCATAGGTAGAGTGACTAGAAGCAGTGCTGACCACACCACTCCTCATAGGTAGAGTGGCTAGAAGTAGTGCTGACCACACCACTCCTCATTGGTAGAGTAGATAGACGTAGTGCTGACCCCACCTCTCCTCATAGGTAGAGTGACTAGAAGTAGTGCTGACCACACCACTCCTAATTGGTAGAGTAGATAGACGTAGTGCTGACCACACCACTCCTCATTGGTAGAGTAGATGGACATAGTGCTGACCACACCACTCCTCATTGGTAGAGTGGCTAGACGTAGTGCTGACCACATCACTCTTCATTGGTAGAGTAGATGGACATAGTGCTGACCACACCACTTCTCATTGTTAGAGTGACTAGAAGTAGTGCTGACCACACCACTCCTCATTGGTAGAGTGGCTAGACATAGTGCTGACCACACCACTCCTCATTGGTAGAGTTAATGGACATAGTGCTGACCACACCACTCCTCATTGGTTGAGATCTAGTTAACAGTTACTTGAGTCAGGGAAAGTAGAGAAAATACGAAATAAAAAAAAACTATATAAAGTACGAAATGAATGAATAATGCGTCGTTATTTAACACTTGAAATGAAAGTTGAAATAAAATAAGGAATTAAATGTGAAATAAATTATGAAATAAAATGTGTTTACCTGGAGTGGTGATTGTGATCGTGGCTAAAATACAAAAGTTAGATGTAAATAAGATAGTTGTGGTAGTGGTGCTGGTAGTGAGATGATAGTTGCAGAGCGTTGTTGTAGCTGTAGTAGTAGTTCGTTGGTTGTGTTTATGGCGGTAGTGTAGTGGTAGTGTGTTCCCATGTTGTAGTGTGCTGGTGGTCTGTTGGTTTTGGTGTGTCTTTAGTTAAAGTTGTCACAAATTGTGATATGTACTTTGGGAATTTGAAATGTGAGTTGTTGTAATGTGCTGGAGGTCTGTTGGTTTTGGTGTGTCTTTAGTTAAAGTTGTCACAAATTGTGATATGTACTTTGGGAATTTGAAATGTGAGTTGTTGTAATGTGCTGGAGGTCTGTTGGTTTTGGTGTGTCTTTAGTTAAAGTTGTCACAAATTGTGATATGTACTTTGGGAATTTGAAATGTGAGTTGTTGTAATGTGCTGGAGGTCTGTTGGTTTTGGTGTGTCTTTAGTTAAAGTTGTCACAAATTGTGATATGTACTTTGGGAATTTGAAATGTGAGTTGTTGTAATGTGCTGGAGGTCTGTTGGTTTTGGTGTGTCTTTAGTTAAAGTTGTCACAAATTCTGATATGGACTTTGGGAATTTGAAATGTGAGTTGGCTTGGGCCAAGGGGAATAAACGAAAAAAAAAAACCGGAAGTAGAATGTTTGAGAGGTCACAGATTAGCTTGCCAGCTACACTTAAAGTTTTTATTTAGGCTAATTACTAATAAGAGATAACTGATCACCAATTACTCATTACTAATTACTAACTACTTATTACTATTATTCATACTTACATGCAGTATCTGTTTTTACAGTTGCTAGGAATACAAAAATAATTATTTATGTCAACTTTACGCGCGGGTAGAGGCGGGGGGATGGGTGGTGGTGGGGGTGGGATGCATATAAACAAATGAACTGTCAAGCTATATCATATTATTGTTAAGCCTCACAAATTACAGTCACTGGCATTTATTTTATCTTCAGACTTATTAAAACTTCCCAACTCCTATCAACCCAATCGTCGTCATCGATATGACTAACATCAGATTGTGACTAACATCAAATAGTGACTAACATCAACATGTGACTAACAACAACTAGTGACTAACATCAACATGTGACAAATAGTGACTAACATCAACATGTCACTAACATCAACATGTGACTAACATCAACTAGTGACTAACATTAACATGTGACTAACATCAACTAGTGACTAACATCAACTTGTGACTAACATCAACTTGTGACAAACATCAACATGTGACTAACATCTAGTGACTAACATCAACATGTGACTAACATCAACATGTGACTAACATCAACATGTGACTAACATCAACATGTGACTAACATAAACTAGTGACTAACATCAACATGTGACTAACATCAACATATGACTAACATCAACATGTGACTAACATGAACATGTGACTAACATCAACTAGTGACTAACACCAACTAGTGACTAACATCAACATTTGACTAACATCAACATGTGACTAACATAAACTAGTGACTAACATCAACATGTGACTAACATCAACATATGACTAACATCAACATGTGACTAACATGAACATGTGACTAACATCAACTAATCGCTAAAATCAACTAGTGACTAAAATCAACTAGTGACTAACATCAACTAGTGCCTAACATCAACTAGTGACTAACATCAACATGTGACTAACATCAACTTGTGACTAACATCAACTAGTGACTAACATCAACTAGTGACTAACATCAACTAGTGACTAATATCAACTTGTGACTAACATGAACATGTGACTAACATCAACTAGTGACTAACATCAACTAGTGACTAACATCAACTAGTGACTAACATCAACTTGTGAGTGACTCACGTTTCTTCATACACAGGTACGGAAAGCGCGTGTCGCAGACTTTAGACTGGAGTGAGTTCAAGTTTAGCAGCATGACACACCCATCCCCCTGTGACTCGTCAGTGACTTGCATTGCCAATGGTTGTCCATCAAACACCCAATGGTAGCGATGATTTTCTTCTTCTATTGCCCCGACCCAAACTGTACGCAGGGAGAATAACAGGGAACCAAATGTACACAAACCGTACACAGGGAGAATAACAGGGAACCAAATGTACACAAACTGTACGCAGGGAGAATAACAGGGAACCAAATGTACACAAACTGTACGCAGGGAGAATAGCAGGGAACCAAATGTACACAAAATGTACGCAGGGAGAATAACAGGGAACCAAATGTGATCTACGGCTGTCCTAGGCAAACTGTACGCAGGGAGAATAACAGGGAACCAAATGTACACAAACTGTACGCAGGGAGAATAACAGGGAACCAAATGTACACAAAATGTACGCAGGGAGAATAACAGGGAACCAAATGTGATCTACGGCTGTCCTAGACAAACTGTACACAGGGGAACATTAGGGGAACCAAATGTGATCTACGGCTGTCCTAGACAAACTGTACACAGGGGAACATGAGGGGAACCAAATGTGATCTACGGCTGTCCTAGACAAACTGTACACATGGGAACATGAGGGGAACCAAATGTGATCAACGGCTGTCCTAGACAAACTGTACACATGGGAACATGAGGGGAACCAAATGTGATCTACAGCTGTCCTAGACAAACTGTACACAGGCGAACATGAGGGGAACCAAATGTGATCTACGGCTGTCCTAGACAAACTGTACGCAGGGAGAATAACAGGGAACCAAATGTGATCTACGGCTGTCCTAGACAAACTGTACACAGGGGAACATGAGGGGAACCAAATGTGATCTACGGCTGTCCTAGACAAACTGTACACATGGGAACATGTGGGGAACCAAATGTGATCTACGGCTGTCCTAGACAAACTGTACACATGGGAACATGAGGGGAACCAAATGTGATCTACAGCTGTCCTAGACAAACTGTACACAGGCGAACATGAGGGGAACCAAATGTGATCTACGGCTGTCCTAGACAAACTGTACGCAGGGAGAATAACAGGGAACCAAATGTGATCTACGGCTGTACTAGACAAACTGTACACAGGGGAACATGAGGGGAACCAAATATAATCTACAGCTGCCCTAGACAAACTGTACACAGGCGAACATGAGGGGAACCAAATGTGATCTACGGCCGACCTAGACAAACTGTACACAGGGGAACATGAGGGGAACCAAATGTGATCTACGGCTGTCCTAGACAAACTGTACACAGGCGAACATGAGGGGAACCAAATGTGATCTACTGCTGCGGCAGAAGAAATAGTTATATAGGCCCTATATAGGCCTAGATTTAATGTTAAAAATACCCACTTGGCATGAAGATGTGTCGGCGAGCGGACATGGGGAGTGGCTGTCGAGCCAGAAGGTGCTGGTTCAAACCCATCAGATGGCTTATTGCTATGACTCTAATGTATGCATCCTAATCTTATTATCAAAATATTTTATCCAGTTACTTTTTGTTTATTGGTTTTTTGTTTTGTGATGTAATTGTTGGCATATCAGCAAAAAAAAAAAAAAAATAGACCTGTCCACTAGATTTTTGCTAAGAGAAAAAACACAAAAGTGTGATGGAAACTGAATTATAGCTGATGAAAAAGGACATCCTATTTCACCTTTATTCTATGTGATAAAGTGAATTTTTAATGGTAATCGATAGTTGAATAGCAATGAGAACAACCAACTAATCTGATGCTTAATTAGTATTATTTATTTAAAAATTACTACATCTATTATTCTAGTGTATAAATTTAGAGTGCATAATTGATCATCTATGACCTACGTAGCCTGTAACAGATATATCTGATATGAGCCTAAAAAAAGCCAAACTAAACTTTAATTGTAATAACTTTTTTATAAAAATATAACAAAACGAGAAATATGGCCCGTTGAGGAAGGATGCAACGGGCGCTAGGTTGATAGTGCTGTCTCTTTTCTCTAAACTAAAACCAAAACCAAAATCACCACCTTAATTCAATTTAACCGGAAACGAAACATGACATAGAAAACGTATTTTTATCCAGAATCGGATAGGATTTAAGCTTGATCTCTACGTAGTTACTGCACATTGATACTAATGTTACCGTTATTAAATAAATAAATAAAAGATACCCCAACTAATCTCAATCATGACAAAAGTCGCATTTAGAGTCTCTTTTAGGCAACTCTACTTGCCCCCCCCCCTCGCCATACACATACCTCAAAGTACATCTACCGTCCCATTCAACGAAATATATATACTTTTTCCAGTGTCCGCCCCCTCCCAGAAAATTTCACCCCCGCCCCCGAAAAAGTACACTGGTCGCATTTGTAGATCATACAAACTAAAGGAAGAACCTGGGAGGGGCTTAGCCCCTACCGGAAGAGATGCATGAAAGAAACTGCACGCAAAACACTTTTTAGATTAGAAAAAAATCCCCCCTCCGGGGAGGAAAAATCTGAAAGAAACACTGATGTTGCGCTTAGCCACTATCCGAAGAATTGCATGAAAGACACTTTACACGCAAAACGCTTATAAGATTAGACACAATGATTTTGCCTTAAATGTCAGTCTTTTTATTATAGCGTATCGATGACATCATTTCTTTTGAGTTGGCGTGGGGGCGGCTTAGACATTCTTACGCGGGTGTGGGGCTTTGCCCCTACCCGAAGAATTGTATGAAAGAAACTCTTCACGCAAACCACTTAGATTAGACAAATAGGCTTTTTAATTCGATGTTTACTCGAGAATCTGAAAGAAACACTGGTCGCATTTGTAGATCGTACAAACAAAAGGAAGAACCTGGAAGGGGCTTCGCCCCTACCCTAAGAGATGCATGAAAGAAACTGCACGCAAAACACTTTTTAGATTAGAAAAAGTTCCCCTCTCCGGGGAGGAAAATGTCTGAAAGAAACACCGATGTTTTTATTATAGCATATCGATGACGTCATTTCTTTTGAGTTAGTGGGGAGGGAGAGAGGGGAGGGATTAGGCGTTCTGCAGATTAGATGTTCTACCGGGGAGGAAAGGGAGAGTATCGATGACGTCATTTCTTTTGAGTTGGGGTGGGGGCGGCTTAGACGTTCTTACGCGGGTGTGGAGCTTTGCCCCTACCCGAAGAATTGGACGAAAGAAACTCTTCAAGCAAACCACTTAGATTAGACAAAATTGCCTTTTTATTCAATGTTTACTCGAGAATCAATGACGTCATATTACTGTGTGCACTCTCCGGCTTGATACTATTTTTACTATATGCTAAATGTGACGTCATGTTTCGTTTCCGTTTTACTGTGAACGTTTTTATTTTGCTTGTGTTTTCTCTATAGCGTTCTTGTCAGATAGATAGATACACAGACAGCAAAACTATTAGTATTAATAAAAATAGAACTGCTCTCTTAATCTATACCTCACTACCCAGTCACACTAAATGCTTTTATTATTGTAAGATATTATTCACCGTCGTATTTAGCATGAAATGACAGCCGACTGTAAATAGCCGTATTGGGGCTATTCACAGTTAGCTGGGAATAGCCCCAATACGGCTATTCCCAACCGGCTGGGAATAGCCTTGGCCTTTATATATATATATATATATATATATATATATATATATATATATATATATATATATATATATATATATATATATATATATATATATATATATATATATATATATATATATACATATATATATATATATATATATATATATATATATATATATATATATATATATATATATATATATAGTTATTTCACCCACTCACTCACCCACGCATCCAGTACTCACCTTGTTGATGATTTATCAACGATCGAAGGTCAACCAGATCCTCGTCTCTTGTAAGTTTGGCAAAATGTAGTCCATTGTTTTCACACTCAGCCTACGGGATGATTTAATTAGGGGCTTACAATCAGGATTGTCTGGCCAAAGATTATGGATTATAGTCACTAGCCTTACGACCCCTCCTCGACCCCTCCTCGCGCCGAACCTAGACAGACACGTGATCTACTCACCTTGGCATCTCGCCAATATCGTGGGGTGGGGTAGAGACGGTAGCAGATCTCGCCTAATTCAAACTCTTCATTGGACCCGCATTCTGAGGAGATAACAGGCGGGGTAGTTTACATACCCAACCCGTAGCTTACATACCCCCAACCTTAGCTTACATACCCCAGCCTTAGCTTACATACCCCAGCCTTAGCTTACATACCCCAGCCTTAGCTTACATACCCCAGCCTAAGCTTACATACCCCAACCCTAGCTTACATACCCCAACCTTAGCTTACATACCCCAGCCTTAGCTTACATACCCCAGCCTTAGCTTACATACCCCAGCCTAAGCTTACATACCCCAGCCTAAGCTTACATACCCCAACCCTAGCTTACATACCCCAACCTTAGCTTACATACCCCAGCCTTAGCTTACATACCCCAACCTTAGCTTACATACCCCAGCCTTAGCTTACATACCCCAGCCTAAGCTTACATACCCCAGCCGTAGCTTACATACCCCAACCCTAGCTTACATACCCCAACCTTAGCTTACATACCCCAGCCTTAGCTTACATACCCCAGCCTTAGCTTACTTACCCCAGCCTTAGCTTACATACCTAAACCTTAGCTTACATTCCCCAGCTTTAGCTTACATACCCCAGCCTTAGCTTACATACCCAGCGTTAGCTTACATACCCCAGCCTTAGCTTACATACCCCAGCCTTAGCTTACATACCCCAACCTTAGCTTACATACCCCAACCTTAGCTTACATACCCCAGCCTTAGCTTACATACCCCAGCCTTAGCTTACTTACCCCAGCCTTAGCTTACATACCTAAACCTTAGCTTACATTCCCCAGCCTTAGCTTACATACCCAGCCTTAGCTTACATTCTAAAACATCATTATCTAAAAGTAAGGGAGATGCACTTTTTGTGCTATCGGACTCTCGAAAATTTAAAAATTAATTTTTTAAAGTTAAAAGTTACTTACTTAACTTTCGCATAAAATCTTACTTTTATTTCAAATTTCGTCTCCCAAATAAAAGTGCACTCAACTTAAAGCGAAACTACGAGTGCAGGAACTACTACTTCCGGTTACTGAAAAATCTGTAACGGTACTAAGGTGTTTACATAAAAAAACACACGCACGCACACTCACATAGACGAACAGGAATGCAACTAACCTGAAAAACACGTGTAAACTAACTCACATGTAAAACACGTGCAAACTAACCCACCTGCAAAACACGTGTAAACTAAATCACCTGTAAAACACGTGTAAACTAACTCACCGTTATACATACACAGGAAATAACCATGCGAGTTGCAGCCGTACACTGCAAGTTTGTGGTTGTTGTTGATGCCGGCACAAGTCTCAAACGCCCAACGGTCGGGGCGGGGCTGACCCTGGTCCCACAGGTCTCTGTCGTCGATGGGGGATTGGCTGTGGTCCCACACGAAGGTCCCGCGGGTTTTTTCGTCGTTGGCGCCTACCCAAACTAGAACAGGTGTGGTTGTTTGTGTGTATGTAATTGTGTGTGGATTAGGGTTAGCATTTGGATGCGTGTGGTTATGGATTATGGTTAGTATATGTGTTTTAACTTATGTTTAAAATTGTGGTGTTTAAAGTTGTATTGTGTATTAGTGTGGTTTGCTGTGTGTGCGGTGTTCTATGTGTGTGGGTTTTTTTTTTGTTTAAACCGATGTTGTGTTTGTTGTGCTGAGTGTTGTGTGATTCGTGTTTATGTTGTGTTCCTCGTGTGTTCGGTGTTGAGTGTGGTTAGTGTGTTTTAACATACTGTGGAGTACACCACCATGACTGCGCATGTCCGCATCCGTTACTTCTGCTAGCACCATTCCTTTCTTTATGCACTCAATCTGTGGAGGTCAATGAACCTTAGCACAATCTGAGGATGTCAATGAACCTTAGCACAATCTGAGGAGGTCAATGAACTTTAGCACAATCTGAGGAGGTCAATGAACCTTAGCACAATCTGAGGAGGTCAATGAACCTTAGCACAATCTGAGGAGGTCAATGAACCTTAGCACAATCTGAGGAGGTCAATGAACCTTAGCACAATCTGAGGAGGTCAATGAACCTTAGCACAATCTGAGGAGGTCAATGAACCTTAGCACAATCTGAGGAGGTCAATGAACCTTAGCACAATCTGAGGAGGTCAATGAACCTTAGCACAATCTGAGGAGGTCAATGAACCCTAGCACAATCTGAGGAGGTCAATGAACCTTAGCACAATCTGAGGAGGTCAATGAACCTTAGCACAATCTGAGGAGGTCAATGAACCCTAGCACAATCTGAGGAGGTCAATGAACCTTAGCACAATCTGAGGAGGTCAATGAACTTTAGCACAATCTGTGGAGGTCAATGAACCCTAGCACAATCTGTGGAGGTCAATG